TGACTAACCCGCATGAGAAGGCAACTTCGTACCACAATGTAACAACAGATCTCCTTAGACCTGGTTGGCTTATGCTGGATTGGCCAGCTGGCATAGGGATATTTATTGCGGAACAGGCAATAGTGGCAAAATGCGCATCTAAGCAATGCAAACGTCACCCCAAGCTGGCAAAAAAGTGCATTAATTACGGCTTGATGGCTCACTTTTAGTCATGGTTCCATATCATTTGCGTCTGCAGATGGGGTCTTTCGCTTGGTCTGCATCAGCGCATTTTTGAGATCCAAGAAATTGCTTTCAAACTGCTTGGACTGCAGAAGCAATGCATCGGAGAAAGACTTCGTAAGATCATTTTTGACACCAATCATGGACTGTTGAACTGCTTCCGAAATCTTCTGCTCCGTCTGTACTAGGTCCTGCTGCAAGTGCTGGATCTGACCTGACTGTTGCGTTTGAGCAGCTTGAATTGCTACGATCTTGTTCTCAAGTTCTGCAACTTTGGCATCCTGTTGTGCAAATCGCTGTTCGGTAACTCCTTGGTGATTCTGATTTGTCTGGGGGCTGACACTGTTCAACCCTTGCATTTGTCTATACTGCATCCAAGGATCGGATGCAGATGCATTGGTGGTGTTATTCGACGATGGCACGGATGTTTTGTTATATGATGCCCTGGGACCTGCAAGGATAGGCTGCGTGGTTTGGATCTGTTTTGGTGGCAAAAATCTTGGCAATACTGGATGGCCATTGAAAGCCAGCGGTCCCTCAGGTGGTTTCTGTCCTGCGCAGACAAGCCAACTTTTTGGTCCTGTTGCTCTGAGTGGCCGAAATGGCCATTTCACATGTTCGGACCATTCTTGGAGCATGGCTGGGCTACATCCACATGGTAGTGGCTCTAGTTTGAAAGTCATCCTGTTTGGTACATCCAATGGCGCTTGTTCTGTAGGGTAAACCAATTTCCAGGCTGTTTCAAATTGATTGGAGCTCACACGAATGCCCAGGGAAGATTTGCCCCGAACTAGGCCTGCAACACCGTTGATTTTGGCACTGACTGCTCCTGCTTTTTGCAAGTCATGGGAAGATGGAAGCCACAGGACTCTGTAATCCGTAACCAGCTTTCCATCCTCTGCTTTCGGTGCTGCCCAGATCTTGTTGAAACCCGTCAGCTTGAGAACCTGCGTGAACTGCTCTTCCGTGATTGCAGTATGGATTTGCACACTAGTGGCATCTTTGACACTTGCAATTTGTTTTCCTTGACGCATGGATTTTCCCCAAAAACTAACAAAAGCATTGTGTACTCCATCAACTGCAAAGGCATCACGTACGAACTGGTATGTGTTGGTCATGATTGCATTCCATTCTTCAGTAGTCCAGTCTGATTTCCAGAAAGTGAGGGAAGAGACTCTGCTGGAGTTGTTCTTAAGGGATACTTGTTCCCAATCTTTGACTTTCAACACTTTAGCCCCTAGCTGGACCAGTATGCCTTGCAACAAAACTTGTTGTCCTCCTCCATTCACCGCAGGAAGGACTGCTTCGGCATATTGCAAGGTCGTTGTGATTGGCAAAGGTCCGAGTACAAACATGGCTAACTCATCAGTAGAGAGCTGCTGGTTTTCTCGCAGCCATGGTAACGCGGATTGCCCATTGGCTATGTACACTCCTGTTGTGTTGGCACGAAAATCTTGCAGCTGACATGTGGGGGTTCCATCTTCTTTCAGGAGGAACTCGCAATTGAGTTTGAACTCTTGCGGATCAGGTGCTGTGGTCATTCTCTTCTTGGACCTGGCTTTGACAATCTGCTGTGACACATTCATCTTTGGTTTCGTTTCAGGAAGTTTGAAGGATGAGTTTGCAAACAGTTGGTGCAATTGTGAATCTCTTTTGGCACATGCTGGCTGTTGGATAACCGGTGCCAGAGTTCTGACACCCACTTCTTCGATGAAAGCTTCAAGATTTGCGTTAAGCCAGGAAAGTTCAACACCGAGTTCAAGGCACCATGCAGCCACACTGTTTCGGATTTGCTGTCTGAAGTGGCCTTTATTCATGTTGGATCCTGCCCCTCCAGTCATTTCAAAACCAAGAAAGAAAAGCAATGGAACATCACCTTTGGTCTGGTCCCTGAAAATGTTAAATTCTCCGGATGCAAACCTCTTGGCTTTGTGGAACAATCTGACTTCTCTCATCAGTGTGACGGGTGCCAATGCATGCATCAACAAAGCTGTCACAATTTCAGATGTCACGGATGGATCAATCTTACCCGTCCAAAGAATTCTGTTGCCCCACTTGAGTGAAATGGCAATCCCTTCTGCATGTGCAAGTGAGTCCATGATCATACGTGCAAATGCTACAGCAAGGCACATGGGCATGACATTGGGTGGCACGGCTGCAAAGGCTTCACAGGGCTGAAATGCAATGAGGCATTCCTGATTCTTCAAAACAGTGACGGTGCGTCCCATTTCTTTGAGTGTTTCCGGAGCAATGGCATTGGCAATTGCAAAACCCACCCATTTGCGTGAGAAATCATCTCCCTGCACGTGGCATGTCCACACATCATGTTGTTGGTCATAATGAAAATAGTATACGGCATTTTGAAAGGCAGCAAGAACCATCAGTGGGTCGAGTTTGATCAGGCCATGTCTTTGAGGAGAAAGAGTAATCAGCATGTCTTGGAAAAATTTGGAACCCATCTCAATTGGCCCAAACTGGTCAAAACAGGTATCACACTGAATGGTTCGAATGGCGCAATTGAAAAAATCTTCTTCCCCTCCATGTGGGTAAATGGTAATTCTGCCTTCAATCATGCAAACGAACAGGGAATGCTCAACCTGAATCGACATCTGCTTGTCAGAAATTGTCAAGTGAAGAGAGTCATCTTTGTTTTCAGCTTCAAACCCTCCATTCCAGAGCATGGCAAGCTCAGACGTTGGAACATCTGTTGGGACCCAAACATGTTGAGTCCATTCTCTTCCATTGATGAGCACTTTGGTTGTCACTGCAAACGGGAGAGTGGCTGAGATGTCACACGTGTCACTGTCCTGCTCTGTACATGGGATGGAGATTGCGGATGCACCATCATCATCTGGCAAAGGTACTGGGCCGGATGCATTAATCAAAATGTCTGTCGAGTGCAACCCATCTAAGTCCCACCAATGCTGAGTTGGCAGCATGGTGTCTTTCAACTGCAAAAGTGCAGCAATACTTCCATGTTGGGCATCTGAAATTTCGAATGCCGAGCCAACGAATTTCGCAAGCATGCCTGTGGTTCCACTCAAACGCACTGTGTTGGATGTCGTGAGTCTTGATTCTTGCCAGCATCGGAAAACCTGATCCATACTGCAGAAAGAGGCAAAATGAGGATAGGTGCCTATGGCTTGCGTCAAAACCATGAGTGCATGTGCAGTGGCAATCTGATTCCCCAGGATATGCCATGAGTCAGCAAATTTGGAAAAGGTAAAAACTTGGTCCGTAACCCCATGCAAAAATGCAACTTCACAAGGATGTAGGAGACGTGCACCATCATGATCAGCAAAGAAATGGGCAAGACATCCTTTGGACGCCATCGCATCATGTGGGAAGAGATGTTGGGAACCGTACGATGCCATGATCACAGGAATTCTGTCATCTGCAGTGTAAACCCTAGCAGCAAAAGGGGCTTCTCCTGTTTTCAATCTTTTGTTGTTTGGCAAGTATTGTGGTTGGTCCGCCACTTTCTTCATTTCAGGTGTGATCATGAGTTGTGGATCATGTGTTTCATCAGTCGGCAGAATGGAATCAAAGGTCCTAGGCGTGCGTCTCTCAATGTGTGAAATGCAAAAGGACGGTTTGTCCAACAGGCTTTGATTGGACACTTTCTTCAAAATTGCAAGCCACCTGGTTCTGGAAACAGGCCCAACGTGTGCAAGGTCAACTACTGAGGACCAAATGACGGCATATCCAATCATTGCAATTGTTTTCATCAAGAATCTCTTATGGTGATGGTGTTGGAAACCTGCAACTTGCTCAATGCAAATGTAATCTGGCTGCATCCATCTGGCTTGGAAAAGAGATTCTGGCAACAGCAAACCATCTGCGCAATTCATGCCTTTACCAATCCCTGCCAAGGACCAGGGAGGACACGGTGAGCTGATGGTAATGATGTTCGGGCTCCATTTCGCAACTGCAGGTACCCATAAAGAGGATACTGCATTCCCGTGGATCACACAGCCCTTTTTCAGATTGTCCAGCAAGCCCTCAGGCACCCTTTCATAACCATTAATGATAGGGACCACATGGTTGATGGAATAATTGAGGCAAGCTTTCAAGTTCGATTCAACTGCAACAACTTGGCATGGCACTCCAAGCTTGGCAAGGACATGGGCAGCATACGTCCAACCTCCATAACCCCCTCCAAAAAGAGAGAGGATTCTCATTTCTTTCTCGTGCTTTTCTGAAATAGGGATGATCACTGTGTCACTGTTGCATGCAAAGTCCCACTTGTCGTTCAACAAATCAGCCGTTGCACAATTGAGACACCAAAAAAGACCCTGAGGTGGTCTGGTTTGCTTGATGTCCCAAAGTAACTTCACTTGATTCATGGGTTGAAAATCATCCCACACCAGAAAATCATGGATTGCCGCACCTGACGATGTTCCTGTTGGTCGATAGTGGGTGGCATTCCAGACATCATCGAAATCAGTAGGAATGATATCACCAATCAACAGATTTGCTTTTCCTTGAATGAAAGCGCCAAGATCTGAATTAGTGGCACCCAGAAATATCCATATCCTTAACCAGTAATTCCCAATCCGAAGGAAACCAGTCAACCATTGCACCAGGGATTTTGCGAGGCCCGATCAGCAAGCTACGTAGCCTGTCAGACAGACCACGGGAAGGTTCGAGCCATATGTCCACCTGAATTAAGGCCATTTTGGGATGATTTCCCTTATTAACTATGATTCCAGTGAGGTCGTTATAATTTACCCAGATCCATGCCTACGATGATGCTGAAAAATGCGTCAGCGAGTCACCTCGTACGTCGCCGGCATGGGTCGCCACGTCGTCGAGTACAGCGCCTGTTGCTCCGCACCCAGACGACCAGAGGCCTGGAGGACCTGTGGGCTCCGGGATGGATCATCCAGGTGGGTTTTCCCCCAAAAAAAGAGAGATTCTCGCATCATCATAGCTAATATTGAGGTATATACAAGAAGGATATGTCAATAATAATTGAAAATCATAGCTATATTGTATTTCTCTAATAATTTTCATGACTGGTTGGTGGTTTTTCGCCACCCCTCTGAAAAATGATGGAGTGAGTTCGTCAGTTGGGATGACGACATTCCCAACTGAATGGAAAGTCATAAAACTCATGTTCCAAACCACCAACCAGTGGATACAACTTCATATTTCATAGCTAAATTAATATTATATTGAGATTAGCTGATATTTCATGATATTTCACCAGCTAATCTCAATATAATATTAAAATATCATGAAATAACCACCATATATCAGAACCAAGGATTTTAATATTGAGATTCCATCATGGCATAGCTGATATTTCTCTAATTTTAATCTCCACCAGGGGCATCACAAAAAAAAATCGCCTTCTGCAGATGCTCGTCCCGCACTTCCTGCAGGTGAACGGAGTCAAAGTACAGCAGGCTTTCGCCAGCGTCGTTCATCATCCAAGACCTGCCGGAACATAGCTATTGAAAATGGCCATAGAAATAGTGGATTTTCCCATGAAAAAAGGTGATTTTCGAACATCACCATGCTATTAATAGGTAAAGCATCTATTTCTATGGGCCATCTATACCATGGCGAACTGTTAGTCATAACCAGAGGGTAAATTCACCAATGGTTCATCAGGTTCATCACCGTGTTGTTATTTCATATGGAATGAAGAGAAGACCTGCCGGTTCATCATCATTTGGGGATGGGTCAAAACCCTGGTACCTAGTGAACCCCAAAATAGCTGGTAAATGGATGTTCATCCCACTAAAAATGTATCTATAGGTATTGACCCATCATCATTTCAGGTTTCTCTCTTCACCCATTTTTCACAAGGTCCGGAGGAAAAATTCGAAATTCAAACCAAAAGACACAAAATAGTGTCAGATCATGTCACATCAATATGAACAATATGAACATATCAATTCTGTATCACCTCATATTTGATCAAATGTGCTGAGGCTGCATCAATCTGAATCACTGTATGCCACCGTCTGCCTGAAGACTGTGGAATGCTCCGTCCAGTCCAGGAGCTGGAAATGGGACCAAACTCCAATGGAGTATGGTCGGCCCGTGGGCTGCAGCCTTTCCGATTGAACGAGTTGGCATCACCCGAGGGTGAAAAAAGAAATAAATATCCAAAATGCACTTACCAAGTATGGATTGTAGTTTGGTTCCCATTCCTCAATGATCCTCAATCTATGGGTTGATGTGGAAATTGGATGAAATTGGTACATGGATGAGGCTGCAGTATCCTCAACACGAACTGGCTCCAGAAATCGTCGATCGCTTCGCCAGTCTTTGACATATTGACATGGGTCAAATATCCTGTGAATAATTGTGGATCAAGAATTATGGGTGAACACCTCCAAATATAGGACATATCTATATAGACTTCTATAGAAATATGGGTGAACAATGGTGAAGACCTCCAAAAGTGAATGGTTTGATATCTTGACCAGCCGGCCGTACGGGTGTCCAGTCCCACTTGAAAGGACTTGACCCAAATCCGCGGTTGTAAATCATGAATTTCATCACAAAAACCGCTTCAGAAATCACCACAAAATTCGAAACCAACATGAACCATGAAAAAATATACTGATAGTACTAGTTATCATAGTATCCCAAATTCTACCACTATCCCAAATATACCACTATCCCAAATTCTACTGCTTGCTATTCATAGTTATAGATATTATCCCGTTATCCGTAATAGATAGTAATAGTCCCCAAGCACCCAGATATCAGATAAACCTCCTATCAACCAACATAGCTATTGAAGCCATGGCCCAGTCGAAATAGTTGATTTTCCCATGAATCGCATGGTGGATCTTTCCATAGTTTTTTTGTTAACGTTTACCAGGCCGGGTAAAGCTGGTAAACCTTCAACCGGGCCCCAAGCCACACCTCTTGATGGACAGGGGGATCTTTAAGGATCCAATCCCAACATCCGCGTCCGCGAGGGCCATCAGGGCTTGGAAGCTGCTGTCGATCACTGATGGGCCCAAGAAAAATCCCAGCTGAGTTCCTAGGCGTCGACCAAAACATAGGAATGGCCATAGAAGGGACGATTTTTCAGGGAAAAATGATGGGAAAATGATGGATCAACGGATCAACCATGACATTTTTGGGGTCGCCGATTTTCAGACCAACCCAAGTCTTGAGTTTGTTCTTGAAAATTGGTGGCCAGCAAAACTATTGGGAAAGAATCAGCGAAGCGGCATAGAACGGGAGCTCGGTGGGAGTTTTGAAGCCCAACCCGCCAACCAGATCGAGATTAGCATCAGAATTGATACTTCCGTGATAAATAGAAACGAATTATAGAGATCAGTGAGATCAGAGTTACCCTCTGGTAAACTGTCCCATAACTATGGAAAATCACCATGCTATTAATGGGAAAATCCACTATTTCTATGGCCATTTTCAATAGCTATGTTGACATAACCAGAGGGTACATAACATGTCATCCTGGGGTGCCACTCAACTTCTGCCGAGACAACTGGGTTCCCCCACCATCACGTTCCATCTCCAGTCTGGCGAGACCGGAAGGTTCCTTCTTCTGCACTTGAACCTGCAAGACTTCCCAATGGAACCACAGAATTTTAGGTCCAGTTGGTATGTTTTTTTTCGTGTCACAGAATTCACAGATCCATAGGTTCTTGGGGATCAACCACTATCTCAGATGATATTTAAGTGAGATATGGATATATATATATATATATCAATTAAATATCATCTAACATAGTGGTGATATTGATATAACTAACTATCATATAACTATCACTGACTGACAGATCCATCAGTATAACTATCCTGGGGTCTCCGTCATTTTTGGCCAGTTTTTGGGGAAGTTTGACCACCCGTCCTGGCGAACGCAACGGAAACGTGGCTGCAGAGGCAGTCCACTTTTCACCCCAAAGGAGTACATCAGATCGATATCCACCTGAGAAGCCGAAGTCGGTTGAAAAATCTTGGGAAAAACCCAGCAAATCGGGCCAAATCCTATGGATATCCTATTGTGACCATGGTTTCATCAGCATTTTCCGATTGAAAATCTATTTGACTTGTTTATAAAACTGTCAGAAATTTCTGGTATCCACATGTCTCCACCATTTTTTGGGGATCAACGGAGGAGAAGTTTCTGAGAGTCGCACATCTTCAGGACACGAATCTCGAAGCTGGGACAGGTTGTGCTTGTCCTTCTCAATGGGATTCTTCTGCCATCCCCCTTGCAATTGGATCAGACTTGCCTGCCAGATGAAAACATGGAACAACATTGTCACATATTGTCACAAAGAAAACAGGGCAGCCTCCAGTCCAAGTGTGGCTGGAAAATTCCAAGTGTCCACAGCAAAGCGGCCTCCACATGAGTTGTAACTGCTTCATCGTCCCCAACTTCACTCTCCACCTGTTCCCAGAGGGATGAGGGTTCGAATTTTATGGATTTGTCAATTTGTCACCTAGAAATGGCACATGATGGGCACAAACCCAAGGACAATCTAAAAGCCTTGAAAACTTCAGCACCAAAAAAAGAATTCTGGTTGGTGGTTTCAACCCCTCTGAAAAATAAAAGTCAGTTGGGGTTACTATTCCCAATACAATCCAATACATGGAAAGTCATAAAAGCCATGTTCCAAACCATGTTCCAAACCACCCAAAAAAGAATTCGACATGTTCAAGTCATTGATTTTGATCCCAACATCCAACAGTTGAACCATGTTGAACCAGCTCTCCATGCGCCAGCGCCTCCAGACGACCGTCCGGCCAAATCAGCAAGCGAAGCTGCACAGGCTCCTCAAAAAATCAGAGAACATCAGAGAACCAAGAGATATAAGACTTATTAAGAGATGACTCTTGATTTTGAGGTACTAAAATCATCTAATGATATCTAATGTTTTGAGCAGCCAACTGGTCTTCGGGATAATTTTTTTTTTGCTGGCGCAGCTGTCTTTCCCTGTTTTTCCGCAACGAAGGCCTTCAAAACGAATCGTGGAAGAGGACAACGTGACAACGTTCGAAGGACTTGTGCCTCTGTGGATCAACAATCAGCTGCAGCCTCCAACCCTGGCACATCGGCAGCCAGGGGAGCATACCTCGCCATCGGCACCATCGGCCGACTAATCCATCGGCATCCGACTAAAGTGACTAAAGACCCGCCTCTTTACTTTGCTCCACCAAGTTGTTTGTGAGCTCCCGAATGGTGGGATAGTCAAAGAGGATGGTACTGGATGCACCACTGAAGGGAAAGGAGGAGGCGATGAGATTTTGGAGGTCCATAGCGGATAGACTGTCCAGTCCCATATCCATCAGTGGTGTATCCCCATCCACATCTCCTTCTTCCGTCAGGACACTTCGGACATGTTGCAACAGCTTCCCACGGATGATGTTGGGATCTAAACCAGCTGACCTTGCACGTGGTGCTGCAGTTTTCTGTACAGCTCTTGGCTCAAATGATCCATCCTCATCATCCTCATCCATGGGTTGAGCGATGTTTACCAGCTCCTCTTTCGCCATCTTTTCCCATGAGCTGTTCTTGGCCTCAACGGCCAGTTGCAGGGCGCGTTCCACACTCTGTGTGGCTTCTGGCAGCTTCCCCAATGCTCGTTCCAACCTGCCCTGCAGCAGGACGCTGCGGAACAAGCCGCCGGAGTCTCTGCTCCGCATCTGTTTGAAGAAAGCCTCAGCTTCCCTCACCGCAGTGAGAGCTTGCTGATGACGACCTACCGCTACCAAGGCTTCAGCGTGCCAATATTTGGCCGAGCTCTTGTAGTCCAATCCTGCTGATTCGCGGGAAGCCAAGGCCCAGGCCTGTTCGGCATATTGCAAAGCCTTGGCGCCGAAACTGCCCGCGCCGTTGCTTTCCGACAGCCGCAAAATGTTCACCTAGGGGATGGTCATTAAATGGAGATACCTCGCCATGAAAAGTCTGAATATGAGTGATGATCAGCCGTGTTTTTTTTTGGGGGGAAAACTACTACAACATATATCTTCTGGCATTAAAACATATTAAAACTGCTAAACAAAATCATTTGAATAGGACCTTTTTCATGATCGACCATCAGAGTTTCTGACACTAGACGACGGATGGCCCGAGAGCGTAGAGGAGCAGAGTCTTCTGTTGTTAGTATGGAGACACTATATTACAAGATAATATATTAAAGATGTATTATAGGCAGACGAGAAGAGTAGTATCAAGACAATATATGCGTAGTACAAGACAATAGTTTGCATCGTATTTTTGTAAAGTTGTTCATACACAGAACTTTTTACAGACAGACGCTTTTGCACACAGAGACTTTTACACACAGAGACTTTTACACACAGAGACTTTTACACACAGACGCTTTTACACAGAGACGCTTTTGCACACAGAGACTTTTACACACAGAGACTTTTACACACAGACACTTTTACACACAGACGATTTTACACACAGACGATTTGACACACAAACACTTTTACACACAGAGGCTTTTACACAGACGCTTTTACACACAGAAGCTTTTACACACAGAAGCTTTTACACACAGACGCTTTTACACACAGACGCTTTTACACACAGACGCTTTTACACACAAACGCTTTTTACACATAGGTTCTTTTACACGCAGGCGCTTTTACACACAGACGCTTTTACACACAGACGCTTTTACACACAGACGCTTTTACACACAGACACGTTTACACACAAACGCTTTTACACACAGAAGCTTTTATACACAGACGCTTTTACACACAGACGCTTTTACACACAGACGCTTTTACACACAGACACTTTTACACACAGAGCCTTTTACACACAGACGCTTTTACACACAGACGCTTTTACACACAGACGCTTTTACACACAGACACTTTTACACACAAACGCTTTTACACACAGACGCTTTTGCACACAGACGCTTTGACACACAGACGCTTTTACACACAGAGGCTTTTACACACAGAGGCTTTTACACACAAACACTTTTACACACACAGACGCTTTTACACACAGAAGCTTTTACACACACAGACGCTTTTACACACAGAAGCTTTTACACACAGAAGCTTTTACACACAGACGCTTTTACACACAGACGCTTTTACACACAGAGGCTTTTACCCGCAGAGACTTTTACACACAGACGCTTTTACACACAGACGCTTTTACACACAGACGCTTTTACACACAGACACTTTTACACACAGACGCTTTTACACACAGACGCTTTGACACACAAACACTTTTACACACAGACGCTTTTTACACACAAACACTTTTACACACAAACACTTTTACACACAGACGCTTTTACACACAGACGCTTTTACACACAGACGCTTTGACACACAGACGCTTTTACACACAGAAGCTTTTACACACAGACGCTTTTACACACAGACGCTTTTACACACAGAGGCTTTTACACACAGACGCTTTTACACACAGACACGTTTACACGCAGACGCTTTTACACACAGACGCTTTTACACACAGACGCTTTGACACACAGACGCTTTTACACACAGACGCTTTTGCACACAGTCTTTTACACACAGACGCTTTTACACACAGACGCTTTTACACACAGACGCTTTGACACACAGACGCTTTTTGACGATCGACCTTCATTTCGTGCGAAAGGGTTGCTCCAGGACAAGTAAAGTCGCAATTTTTCCTCAGTTTTTGACGATCGACCTTCATTTCGTGCGAAAGGGTTGCTCCGGCACAAGTAAACTCGCAATTTTTCCTCAGTTTTTGGCGATCGACCTTCATTTCGTGCGAAAGGATTGCTCCAGGACAAGTAAACTCGCAATTTTTCCTCAGTTTTTGACGATCGACCTTCATTTCGTGTGAAAGGGTACAAGTAAACTCGCAATTTTTCCTCAGTTTTTGACGATCGACCTTCATTTCGTGCGAAAGGGTTGCTCGGGGGCAAGTAAACTCGCAATTTTTCCTCAGTTTTTGACGATCGACCTTCATTTCGTGCGAAAGGGTTGCTCCGGGACAAGTAAACTCGCAATTTTTCGTCAGTTTTTGACGATCGACCTTCATTTCGTGCGAAAGGGTTGCTCCGGGACAAGTAAACTCGCAATTTTTCCTCAGTTTTTGACGATCGACCTTCATTTCGTGCGAAAGGGTTGCTCCGGGACAAGTAAACTCGCAGTTTTTCCTCAGTTTTTGACGATCGACCTTCATTTCGTGCGAAAGGGTTGCTCGGGGGCAAGTAAACTCGCAATTTTTCCTCAGTTTTTGACGATCGACCTTCATTTCGTGCGAAAGGGTTGCTCGGGGGCAAGTAAACTCGCAATTTTTCCTCAGTTTTTGACGATCGACCTTCATTTCGTGCGAAAGGGTTGCTCCGGGACAAGTAAACTCGCAATTTTTCCTCAGTTTTTGACGATCGACCTTCATTTCGTGCGAAAGGGTTGACGTTTCGTGACTCTCCGCCGGCACCACCCTCGGCCTAAAGAGAGAAAGATAAAGAAGGCGAGAGAGAGAAAAAGGAGAGAGAAAGGAGAGAAGATGTGAAGGTGAGAAGATGTGAGACAAGGTGTGAAGATGAGCAGATGTGAAGAGGAGCAGATGTGAAGATGGGCAGATGTGAGAGAAGATGTGAAGATGAGCAGATGTGAAGATGAGCAGATGTGAGAGAAGATGTGAGAGGAGATGTGAAGATGAGCAGATGTGAAGATGCGCAGATGTGAGAGAAGATGTGAGAGGAGATGTGAGAGAAGATGTGAAGATGAGCAGATGTGAAGATGAGCAGATGTGAAGATGAGCAGATGTGAGAGAAGATGTGAAGATGAGCAGATGTGAAGATGAGCAGATGTGAGAGAAAATGTGAGAGAAGATGTGAAGATGAGCAGATGTGAGAGAAGATGTGAAGAACAGCAGATGTGAAGGTGAGCAGATGTGAGAGAAGATGTGAGAGAAGATGTGAAGATGAGCAGATGTGAAGATGAGCAGATGTGAGAGAAGATGTGAAGATGAGCAGATGTGAGAGCAGATGTGAGAGAAGATGTGAAGATGAGCAGATGTGAAAATGAGAAGGTGTGAGAGAAGGTGTGAAGATGAGAAGGTGTGAAGATGAGAAGGTGTGAAGATGAGAAGGTGTGAAGATGAGAAGATGAGATACAGACCCCCACTATTGGAAGAACCCTGCGCTCAGACGCTCTCGGGAATTATAACACGAAAAATGTGGAAAGATGATGATCACAGAATTGGATGATGGGAAAAGTTTAACCGGAAAGCCCTAAAAATCTGATGGTAAAAACCATGGTTTCCCGGTTTTTAGATTTTCCCGTGAAACCAATCCATTGAGATGAACAAATCAAGCATCAATCTGTTTTTTTTCACTAACCCACCTGAACCATCTGAACCAAGGCAGCAATTTCTAGGTCGATCAAACTCTCGTTGAGCTTGGCCATGCGCAGCATCTCCGCCGCAGATTTCTCGGCCTCTGGGATGTTTTTCTGCACCATAAATAAGGTACAAATGACGTCCAGCGCCTCAACCTGCCAATGATTGGAAAATCTGTTTTGGTGGCAGGTTCTAGATGTAGTTGGGTCATGATCTGCCATAGAAATCAACATCAATACACTTCAAGTTTTAGAACCATAATATTATGGTAAGTTAAAGGTTTCTTTGGTATGATAATCATTCTGATCAAACAACCAGTGATATGAATCCCCTGTTAAATCTAACATGCAATTTTCACATTGAAAGAATCAACATTTAACCAATTTGAACTTCCCATAATCTATAGTGAAACACTACAATGATTGAACAACTAAGAACCGAATATACGTATGTATATATTATATATAATAGTTTATACAATATATTGTACATAGTCAGTTTAATTACAATATCATAGATTATTACTTTTTTCAAAGCAGATTTATATAGTTGGGCAAATTACCTCAACAAGTTACAAACCATCAATATCCAGCACATATAGATATAGATATATAGTCATCCCCAAATAGATGGAGAAGAAAGTAAATCACTAATTTCACGATGATGCAAACTATAAACCATCTATTCCAGGGGATATCCAGATTGAGTTGGTTTCAATAAACCATCAACCACCAACCACTAAACCCAGATTTAGTTGGTCTTCATGTTTCCAAAAAAATATAAACCATCAATATCCAGATTGAGTTGCTTTCAATAAACCATCAATAAATAAACTACTAAACCACTAAACCACTACCCTCTGGTAATTTAACGTAGCTATTGGAAATGGCCCAGTCGAAATAGTGGATTTTCCCAGCTAGAAAATGGTGGATCTTTCCATAGTTATGTAACAAATTACCAGAGGGTATCATCCATCATGTGATTTCTGGCCTCTAATTATTGTGGGGGCATTGGGGCATTGGTGAATGATTTTGAAGATATGTTGAAGCCATAAAAAAAATTACCAGAGGGTAAACCATCAACCACTAAACCACCCAACCCCAAACCCTGCCCCAAACTGCCGCCCACTGGTTGCCTGCGCCTTGATGGAAGCCTTGTTCCGTTGCGCCACCTCCAGGCGCTTGGCAGCCGCCTGGAGCGCGGCATCGTGATGCGAGGTGGCCATATGAAGCTCCACCACCTGGCAGGAGATGCCAGGGAGGTTCACCATGGTTCACCAAAATATGGAAAAAATAGGATAAAAATGGTGCTTAAGCCATATCAAAATGCTGATTCATGATAAATTCTAGCAAAATATCGAAAGTTGATTGACGATTTGGAAACAGCAAAGACGTTGATTCAATGAGTTTGACCATAGCAAAATTTTGGACATATGTGGACATTGAACTAGTATTCAACTGGATATGGGGATTCGGATGAATGTGAAAACCAATGCAAAACCAGCATGGGCATATTTCTAGAGAGATTGTGATAGATAATGAATGGAGAAATGACCAATATTTTTACGTCGCTAAAATACACTCTTCAACTGACCATGCAAAGAAACAGTGTATAAGATATCATAAGATACTTGATAATTCATTGATACTTGTGAAAATGTGTAAGCGATACTTATTATACTTCTGAAGGTTTGAAAAATATACAGACAGTATACTCACTAGACCTTTTACCATCTGGTTATTTAACATAGCCATGGTATAGATGGCCCTAATCGAAATAGATGATTTTCGCAGCTATAAACCTCCATTTATGGTTGGGATTTTCCATGGCTATGTTAGTCACAACCAGAGGGTAAATCCCCATTACCCTCTGGTAAACAATGTAAACATACAACCCTATGGAAAATCACCACTTTAATAGGTAAAATTAGATAAATCACCATCTTTGATGTGAATTTTTGGATTCGGCCCACCTGCTGCCATACCTCCAACTCCTGCTGGAAATTCTTGGTTTCTTCGCAGAGAGCATGCGCTTCTCGGCAGCTCATCTGTGCCTCGTCGTGGTTCTTGGCGGCCAAATGACAACGGGCCAAGAGCAGCCAGGCATTGGCTTGACCTGACGACCATGAGGGGATGGACATCCCAAAAATGGCCTCTGTTTGGAAGGGAATGTGATGATAAAAATGGAAAATCATTGGTAAAATCATCGGAAAAATAGGGTATATTGGGGTATATTAATGTATATACCCTTTTGAAAGTCATGATTCAGCCATAGACTTGTGGCATTTCCTAAAGTTTGTTTTCCCGGCACCTTCCTTGTCACCATCCTTGGTCGAAATCTTCTTGGATTTCTTGGTCAAAGACATGGCTTCGAAGTGGTCGCCCCTGTACAGATGGACCTCTGCCAAGACCTTCAAGGCCTGAGCTTCCCGGAAGGTCTTTCCGAACTCACGCGCCAACGCCAAGCCATCTCGGGCGAAGCCTTCCGCCTCACTCACCTTACCATGATTCACATGAGATCGGGCTAAATCGATCAACATATGCATCTTCTGTTTTCGAGATTTGATGCCTTCCACTAAGTCCATCTCATTGGTTGTCTCGCCCTGCAGCTGAGATAAGAAGACTTTCAGGGTGGTCGCTTCCAAATTCAGTCGCGGATCCTTTTCAAAACGCTTCAGAGATACCTGAGCAATCTCCTTGGCTTGTTTTCGATCACCAATATTCAACAAGGCCTGTAAAGCCACATGGAGCGTCACCGTCTCCTGGTTGGGCTCCGGATATTTCCGCGCCAGTTCCACAGCCTCAACGGCCTCGCGCGCGGCGATCTTGCCCTGTTTGCCCTCCAGCGTCATGCGCCAGATGGCAATGGTCTTCAGCTCGGCAATCTCCAGGCGCCGGTCACCGATGTCACGATAGATGGCCAAAGCTTTTACACCTGGGCAATGTTTATAGATGTTTATAGATGTTTATAGATGGTTATAGATGTTTATAGATGTTTATAGATGTTTATAGATGTTTATAGATGTTTATAAATGTTTATAGATGTTTATAGATGTTTATAGATTTTTATAGATGTTTATAGATGTTTATAGATGTTTATAGATGTTTATAGATGGTTATAGATGTTTATAGATGTTTATAGACTATAATTGATGTTTATAGATGTTTATATCAATGTGAATCAATTGTTTGCCATGTCTAGTAGTATTTGACCATGGTTCACTAATGTTAACGATCCATTTTTACAAAATGATATATGGTAATGATATTGAGCAACATTTTTTTGTGTTTTTTTTGCAGATTTCCAGCCCTTTCCACTTCCCACCTGTTTCCACAGCGGCTGCTGTGTTTTGCTCATTGAGATATGCTAAACTGGTGGCATGGAGTGACATCCCCTGACGCTTCAGATCTCCCACTTTTCCAAACAAGTCATAAGCTTCCTTGGCAAATTTGTGCATGAGCTGAGGTTGCTGGAACTTGTGAAGGACATTCACCATCATCAAGGCAGCTCGACCTTCCCAAAAGGTCTCATCCAACTCCTGAAAGATTCGTTGAGCCTCTTCACACCAATACTTGCTGGTGTGTCGCATCTTGTGTAAAGGTCGAGTTACATTCACTTCGACCAAGGTATAGAGAAGGACACCTTCGGCCTTCATGTTCTCAGCTGCTTGAGCTCTTGCCAACTCAATTTCGCAGAGAAGGTCGATATCAGGCGCTTTCACAGTGGCTTCACCTGGCTACCGATTTGGGATTTTGGGGCTGCTGTCCTTTTTTTGAACCATGTTTATTACCATCTGGTTATGACTAACATTTCGCCATGGTATAGATGGCCCTAATCGAAATAGATGGTTTACCTTGGGTGGATCTTTCCATGGCGAACTGTGAATGTCATAACCAGATGGTATCAATTCCCAACATGATTCAAAATGGACACGAACTGGAACATCCCCCTGGTTCATCGTCATTTTCCCAGTAAAATATGGCATTTCCAACAGGATTCCTACTTAAATGGCCCATAATGGCCCATAGAAATATACTTGATTTACCGTAATGAATAGCATGGTGATTCCCAAGTGATTCCAACTGATTCCAATGGTGATTCCCCAACTGATTCAATGGTAAAAACCATGGTTTCCGGTTAAGATTTTCCCGTGAAAACCATGGAAAAATCTCATTTTTCATAGGTAAATCAACAATTTTCCCAGCATTTTTCTTCCCCAACTTCCAGCGCTTCCAGCCCCCACCTGTGACGGCCCCATATTCGCCATCGTCCTGCTTTGCCAACACTTCGATCCTGAAGGCCTCCGCCTCACTCGCCAGGTCACCTGGGGAGCTTTTCAGTGGTAAACATCCCATGATTTATAGGGATTTCCCATGATTTATAGGGGGGTTAACATGATTTATAGGGGTTTAACTGGTTTAACATGATGACAAAGCATCCCATGATGGTGCAGGATAACTAACGAACAACCATCCACTTTTTTTTTCATCCTCCCTCACCAAAAATCAATAAAAATCATCCCAAACCATAGATTTTCATGGTGACACAGCATTTTTTTAAAGCCCCACCTGATTCCAGGTAGTAGTCACGTGCAATCTGCGCCTGTTCCAAGGATTCGCGGATCTTTCCTAAGACCAACAACTCCTCAGCGGTCGTCAGGATCTTTCGCGCCTCCTCATCTGGTTCCATGGACGCCACGCTGACAACGACGTGGACCAAACCGGCCGGGCCTACTCCATTCGACTCATCTGAGCCGTGGACATTTCCTCCATCTCCATCTCTAAGCTTGGGCCGAAACATCAGTAGCAGCGAATGATCCTTTAGACATGGCAAGTGATCCAGTTTTTTTCCCTAGCCCTAAGTAAAGCTACTAAACATCATCAATTGAATCAATTAATCCATGGCATATCATTATACCATATTAATCCATGGAATATCATCAAATACGTATACACGATCATCACAATAATACCCCGATATTCATCGATATTGATCAATGCTATCATCCATCTCATGTTCAGAATATACAAATATCAAATATCAATCAGAATCATTATTCATATCATCCATATAAATCATCCATATATCATCCATCCATCACTAGATCCACATTAAAATTCGACACCAGGCGGTCTATCTTCGACGTGTCCTCCATATGCCCATCTTGAGAGAGTCTCAAGACCAAAGGCTTTGCAAAACCCAGGTTTTCAATACACCAGGCCTCCTGCGATGCATAAGGGCCGGAACCAAAATGAACCAAATGGGGTTGGGACGTTTACATGTTCGAATATGTTAGACATGTGGCAATCTTCGGCAATTTCTAAAAAATCACTTTCTTCCGATCTTTACCCTCTGGTTATGTCAACATAGCTATTGAAAATGGCCATTTATAGTTGATTTACCGATTTGCCCATTAAAAATGCTGATTTACTCATGGAAAATGGTTGATTTACCCATTAAACATGGTGTATTTTCCATAGTATAGAGGGTATCTGAAAATGTCTGAAATACCAAAGTCTTGCCAGCTTCGATCGACAGGACTCGACGTGATTTTTTTTCGGTTTTCGGCACCTGCGGTCCCAGGTGGGCTTTCACACCCGCCAAGATCATCTCAAGATAGCAGGCACCAGGAACAACGACCTCGCCGGAGGAGATAAATGCTATCCAAGTATCCAACATCATCAATCTATAGTTAGTCTATATGGATATTATGTCTATATATTGGATATTTCTCAAACAACTAGAGTTATATAGTTCAATATTCATCCAACAATCTAGTTAGTATGAATATTATGAATATGTCTTAAAGAGTTGCCCATCCAATAGGTGGTTTTATCATGTGTTTTATTTATTCAATTGATTCTTCCCATCTGAGTCTGTTTCTCCACGAGTTTGTGGGTAAAACAATGCCATGAACCATCCCCCAGTCATCACCATGTTCATAGGTGGTATGTTGAAACCATTCCCAAATTAAGGTGGTTTATGATATTGTTTTACCCACATTAGTGGAGAAACGATACATTAGCTCATTAGCTATTGAAAATGACCATCTAATCCATCTATAGTTCATTTACCCACTTTACCCAGTAAACATTGTGATTTTTCATTAACTGTTAGTTTACCAGAGGCTATACCCTCTGGTAAACTGTCCCATAACTATGGAAAATCATCATTTTCAATGCGTAAATCCACTATAAATCACCATTTTCAATAGCAACCTGTGAGTTTACCAGAGGCTTTTTTTTTGAGAGTTGGGCTCTGACACCCTGTCATACCCTGTCCATGTCCGTCCCAGACTCCCCAAACCTCGCCGTGAACGATGTGATGGGATAGCAACTGCAAGACATGTCCATCAATCGGACCTCGGCACATCCACGGCTTCATATAACATCTATGGCGGAATCTGTAAGCAGATTCACTGTTTTCGAATCTGTTCATTTGATTCTCATGGATGATTTTGGATGTCTGAACATGTTATTGGAGAAATCATGATAAACCACCGAGAATTTGGGTTTTTCATGGTTTTTCCCCATCCTTTTCCCATTGAAGTTGAGGATTTTGAGGTTCAGGCAGCTCAAAACAGCAACTCCATCGTCCCGCTTGGTCTTGTGTCGTATCAAAGGATGCGCGGGCTCCCGCCAAAGGAAGGCCTGTCGACCTCCGGGGAAAGCTGGGGCAGTTTCCGAGATGCAAAATGGACTGGACATGGTGCAGTCCCAGCCTTCGAAGCGAACACTTGGTCGTGCTGATGCCTGGAATGGGGTGCTGGAAACAATCCAAAAATATCCCAAATCGCAATGATGATAGCTGAAACAGTAGCAATCTGGATTTCAGTGAAAATTGGCCAGTACAGATCTGGATTTCAGCTCCAGCAGCTAAATCGATCTATCCTCAAACTCACCCACGTGAACACGCTCAGCTCCAGCCTTTTGCTCGGGCGAAGCCAGGACCACGTGCCCATTGGTTCCACCAAATCCAAAAGAGGATACAGAAGCTGCTGCCTCCACAGCGCAGGGTCTGACTTTGGGTGTGGATACCCTCTGGTTATGTCAAAATAGCTATTGAAAATGGCCATAGAAATAGTGGATTTACCCATTGAAAATGGTGATTTCCCATAGTTATGGGACAGTTTACCAGAGGGTAAATATCTGCCGGATTCATTTGGGGTTGGAAATGTTAGGCTTAACCCAAAATCCACTGCAAACCATCATGTTTTTCCCAAAAAATGGACCAAAAAAATGGGGATATACTGAGATAATCTGAGATATACCCCATTTTCGGACACAGCCATTTACAGAAGTCTCCTGCAGTTGCAGTTTTTTGACCCTGCAAATCCCACCTCTGTGCAAGCGGTTGCACTTGTAATGAAGATCGCAGCGAAGTCTTTGCAATCCTGCAAGGCACTGCAAGGCGCGCGAGATTTCAGCTTTGTACAGAAAGGATGCCTGAAAGGATGCCTGCACCGCCTATCGATTCTAGACCACGCCGAAAAATATCCTATATAGCATCATTCGTGGGATATATCAGATACGTACATAGAGTGAGAGAGAGAGGGATTATATGATATTTAGATCTTTTAAATTCTTTTAATATGTACATATAGATGATATAGATCCATTGTTGGCAAATTCCCTTGACAACTAGTGCTGGGAGCACTTGGCCTCCCCAAAAAAAGTTAGGCTTCAGCTGCTATGAAAATGGTCCATGTCCATAAATTTTCCCCAACTAAAACTGCCCAGGGGTGATCCTCCGAGATGTGTTGATTCAGCTGACGCAGGTGGAGATTGGCCACGTTGCCCGACTTCCGCTGTAGCTGCGTGACCTTCAATGCCAGGGGTCACTCAGTATCACTGTCGACCAAATAGTTGGCATGAAAAAGAACTGGAGAAATGATGAGAAATGTCCAAGATGATCAAGATTGATCAAAATCAGGTGAAACGAAGCCCACTTTGGCAATGCTGAATGTCTAAAAAAAAAATGTCAAAGTCTCAAATCTGCCCCCATCAAAGGTGATCCAACTTCCATCCCCATCGAAATTCTGGGCTCCCGGACCAGCTTGGAGAGTCCAGCCATTCCGGCGCCACCTTCCAGGTGTCCCACGTTGCTCTTCACCGCCCCCAGCCGCACCGGATCGCCATCCCCATCCCGGCGCAGCACCGAACGCAAGGCGCCGGTTTCGATGGGATCGCCCAGCTCGGTGCCGGTGCCGTGGGTCTCCACCTGATGCAGATGTTGGGAGGTGATCTGAGCATCTTCAAGTGCCATTTTCACCACCAACTCCTGGGAAGGTCCATTGGGAGAGGTCAAATTTGCACTGCGCCCATCTTGATTCAGAGCACTGCCCAAAAACTTCGACAGATTGGGACCTATGACATCCAGATTTTGTAAGACCTGGGCACCACAGCCTTCACCCCGGGCATATCCTGATGCTGAGGAATCAAAGGTATGACATCGTCCATCCGACGATAACATCCGTGCTTGGCAGCAACCTATGAAGGTTTGAGGCAACAGCAGCATGTTGACACCACAAATCACTGCGAAGTCACAGCGCCTCTGGCGAATGTTCATGGCAGCTGTATCCGCTGCAACCAGGGAAGATGAACAGGCGGTATCCACGGTGGCACTTGGACCTTTTAATCCCAGGGAGTAGGAGATTCGATTGGAGGAGATGGATGCGGATCCTCCCGTGGCCGCAAAGGGCCCTGCATGAGCTGCCGAAATCATCCGATTCCAATCACATTTGTCTTGACCCACAAAAACCCCAGCAGTTTTGCCCATCAAATGAGCTTTTTTCCATCCGCCATCCATGAAGGCTCCATAGGCGGTTTCCAACAAATGGCGTTGTTGTGGATCCATCGCCTCTGCTTCCACTTTTGTGATTCCAAACAGCTGGGCATCGAAGAACTCCACGTTCTCCACAAAAGCGGCGTGGCGGACGTACATCTCCAGGCCCGTGGGCATGGCTGGATCGTAGTACTCATCCACATCCCAGCGGCTGAACGGCATCTCACTGATGGTATCAGTTCCCTGCCACAAACTACAGGAAAAGTGTGAAAATTCACTGCTACCTGGGAAGTTACAAGCTGCTCCCTGCACCTTCAATGCCATATTTTTTGGATCCATCCTATCCATCTTTGGCGTCACAGATGCCACTGATGAATTGGGAGCAGTGGCAGTCAATTGTCCAGCGATGTAGCTTGCAGTAGCCTTCAGTGTGGGATGATCAAACATCAACGTACTTGGCAGTCGCACTGAGCGGAACTCACTGGAGATCTTGCCCCGAAACTCGACTGCAGAGAGGGAGTCGATGCCCGCCTCATGAGGTCAACGTGAGGTCACACGTCTTGCTGTAGAACTACGTGCTCGCCTTTGTGTAGTATGTTTTAGGCTGTTTGTTAAGCCTTTCATATTCATCATATTCACAACACAATCCTAAATACATATACTAAACTTGCAAAATCAACTACTCGTATACTCAAAATACTGCCATATACTGCCGATGATTCCACTTGGACACCAGCAAATAAAAGGCAATCTATATATGGCTATGGTACAAATCAAATCATATCAAATCCCTGCCTCCATCAGTGGCGTGTCATCCTGGATCTCCAAATGCATGGAGCTAGCCGCTTGGCGGATGACCGACAGCACGTGGCTTTCGCGCTCATCGGCCGACAGCTTCGCCAGGGCAGATGGCGCTGCACCGCATTCGGCTGCAGAGTCCTGGCGGCAACATGGTATCCCCTGGGAAATTCACAGTTTGCGAACTGGAAAATCACCATTTTTTATAGGGAAATCAACTATATCATGGCCATTTCCAATATTTTCCAATAATATATGTTAAATTAACAGAGGGTAACTTCCTCACATGTTTGCCACATGGTTGACATATGTTGACATGTTGAAGTGTTCATCTTCATGGCCAAAGCCTCGCGGAAGTCTTGCAACGAAGGCACCTTGGAGGTCTGGAGATGTTTAAAAAATCCCAACTGAACAAGTTTTGCAGTAAACCACTGCTTCAGTCACAAATAGAACCATGATTTCATGACCGTTTTCCTATCATTTACCAATATAAACATTCACTGCTTCGCAAATAGGTATCCCGTTCATTGTGAGTCGGTTCATGATCTGACCAGGCAAAACATCACGGAAAACATCAGCTAGGGTCGTAAGCCCAACCCATCCAACAACCATGAGGAACAACCATGAGGGGTATATTGGGGTCTGTCTGAAAAGTTGGTAGGGTGGTCCTCTGGTCCTCTGTTTTCCCAACATTTTCGGGTTCCAAAACCAACATAAACCAACTCATGTGGCTATCCCATTCTGGATTCCCCATTCATATTCTATTAAACTTATGAAACCATCTGGTGATTTAACAGTTCGCCATGGAAAATCACCATGCAAAAAATAGCTAGGTAAACCATCTATAAATCGATTAGGCCCATCGAAAAACCATGGCGAACTGTTAGTCATAACCAGAGGGTAAACCATCTGAAATCCCTACAGGATGGGGCCCCCAAGATAGCGTTCAGTTGGTTTATAAGTGGCTTCACAATGGTTTATGGTAGATATTTCACTATAGTTCATGGGGATTATTTCATGGTTTATAAACCAACTTTACATCACCGGGGGGCCCCATCCTGTAGTTTTCATCTGTTTTCACGGCTCTTTCCACCCTCAGCCCGGCACCAGCCCGGCCGCGTCCCGGAAATAACGGGCCCAGTCGGCCCGCGCCAAGGTGATCTCGCGGAAGGCGATGGAGCCACCAGGGGCTAAGGTGACTCGCAAGGCGCTGGAAACCTGAAACGGGCGATCCATGGATGAGTTGAGCTGCCCAAAATCTTCCGAAAGCGACCTTCACTGGATTGGTTTAATGGGAAAATCTACAGGAAACCATGGTTTTTACCATCAAATATAGGGCTTTCCTGTAAATTTTCCCTTAAACCAATCCAATGAGACGTGTGTTTGGTGGATGATCATATTTTGGATGGGTCATTCTGAATGGGTACCCCAAGAATTGGATGGTTAATACATGTTAATACTAAACTAGACTCACATCTGTGGTCCCACATCGGTCTTCCATTTTGACCCACATCCATATGATCATTAATCTGGTTGGTGGTGCAATAACCATCTTGAAAAATGATGGAGTTCGTCAATGGGAAGGATGAAAACCCATATATGAAATGGAAAATAAAACATGTCCCAAACCACCAACCAGATATTATGATCATTTGTGTATTATGATATGATACATATAGCTATCTCTAGTTATCATATATTGCAGATCATCAATGATGCATAATTTCTCAATAACTGAAGATATCTCCATATTGAGTATTCACAGACAGCCCTACTTTATAATATGAAGAAATCTCAAATGTTTGATGAGTTTGATGCGGATAAACAGTTGACATGATATCAATCAAATAAAATTGGTAGGTATGATATTCATTTCTCTTGTGAGGAGACAATATCTTCAGATTTTTCCTACAGATTTCATTTACAGACCCTCCAATTTCTCCCCCTGAAGCTATCTTCCAACCCACCGCTGCACCTGCGCTAACGACAACGTCTTCAGGGCCATGCCATTCATGGCTTCCATGGCCTTCGCATCACTGCTGTCCTGGGCCAAGTTATGATGATTTTTGGGATGACTTTTGGATGACAGTTGGATGATTTGTGCTTTGTGTTTGTTTTTTTTGGGGATGAGAGTTGATGAATTTTGAGATTATGTTTGACTTTGATCATAACATGTTTTTGTTTAATCAATACCCTTAGCCTAATAGCAGTTTCCCAGATGTTCTAAGTTTGATCTTGGATGATTTGGACGTCGTTGAAATTGTTAATTGGATGAGATTGTACTTTTTTCAGTGGGAAGTTATGTAATAAAACAACAAATTTATACTGGTTGGCGGTATACCTACCCCTCTGAAAAATATAAGTTCGTCAGTTGGGATGATGACATTCCCAATATATTATGGAAAAATAACAAATGTTCCAAACCACCAACCAGTTATGAATGTTTATGATGTTTATGTTTTGCCAAGTTGGTGGCACAGTACTTCCATCTGAGGCGCCCCACTGCGGTCATTCCCACTTCAGCCACCGGCCCCAAGCGCAAGCTGAGTGTCCTCAGGATATTCCAACCCATGAGTCTGGCCTGGATTCGTCTAAACATGTCTGGGACCCCCCCAAAATTTGATCGCCACTCTTGGTACCCGGGGTTACCCCCCCAAAAAAAAATGAAAAACACATGAAATGATGACTTAAAACTCAAGACTCCTGGTCCAAATGTCTATCATCGAAGATTGCCATGATGCCATGGGCTGGTTTTTGATGGCTGAGGCCCCCTGCCCTGGTCTCCACTTGGCCAAGCCATCCAGGTAGCCATTGGCCGCAGCATAAGCGGCTCCACCAGAGAGGCCCAAGATGGATGACACCTGCAGTGAAGATACCCTCTGGTAATTTAACATAACTATGGAAAATCACCATTTTTCATGGGAAAACTCACTATAAATGGTGATTTTCCATAGTTATGTTAAATTACCAGAGGGTATACTTGTTGGAAGGAAATCTTGGGAACATCTTGGAACATTTGATTACTTTGAATGACTTCACCCTCCTACATTTCCGTTGGTTTCTCACATTTGCTGAGATTTTGCTTGGCATGTTTTCACGGAAATGATAATCCATGATCGACATGACAGTATATGACAATCCACTAAAACATGATTTAATAACATGATTATTAATATAGGCTTTGATTGTTTATGGAAACATGTTTTATTAACATGACGATTCACTATTTTTTCGAGGTTTGATTTGGCCAACCTTCCAAACATTTCCAAACCCCATTTCCATGTCACCATCTCGGTGTTGCCCTTAAGATCCCTGCCGAAGAGAACAAGACGTAACTTTGGAGTCCCTCAAAGGCTTGGTGCAGATACCAAGCCTCAGCTCCCAAGTTTTCACATCACGACAGTCAAAGATGTTTGGTTCAAACCAGTTGCAAACCCATCTTAGGGTGGTTTTAGAACCCAAATTGTGTAAGTTTGGATGATTTGGGGGTACCAGTGGGGTACCCCCTCCCTATTGACTAGCCACGAAGCCCCCTGATATAGCCATGAACCTCGCAGTAACCTACCGATTTTTCTCAGCAGCTGAGGGCAAAACTCCATGGGCTTTGGGTCTTGTGGTCAGCTGTAACCTCTCCGAAGTGAGTTCCGGCAGCAGACAGCGATCCAACACACCAGCCTCAGGGCATTGACCTATGGGATGACATGGGAGGGTCAACTGATTGGAAAAGTGGGGGGGTTGACCCACAAAATTCATTGAATGGATTGGTTTAAGGGAAACTTTGCAGGAAAGCCCCATATTTAATGGGAAAATCTATGGTTTCCTGTAAATTTTCCCTTAAACCAATCCATTGATTCATCAAAAATTCATCTGTAGGTAGTTATGAACGCATCCAGGCTGAGGCAATACCAATGGCTTTTCACATCGACACATCGACCCAAGATATCTCAAGCATTTCCACCATGAAAAACACCTTAGTGCCTGGCTGCATGGACAATCAGCTTGACATCCAAAGGACTGGACCTGGGCTTCGAAGCTTCGAAGTCAATCTGCCGAGGTGACTGCGGATGGTGACCGCACTGGGACTGCGGCGCCAGCGAGGCAACATCTGCCTCCGCTCCTGTGTCACACTTCTTGATGTGGATCGCCTTAGAAAAGAATGGCGAAAACATCCGCATATCTCCAAGGCGAAAACAATCAACATCAACCAACCCCCAAAAGAAATCTGATGGTCACTTTAAAGATTTGAATCCCATTGATGGTTAGAATATGTTAGAATCCCATTTATTAATGATTTGAATCAATGGTTCAAATATAAATAACCCATGTATTGATAATATACCATTCATTGATGGTGAATATCCCATTGATGGCTAATATCCACTTGGTTAATATCCCATCTATTGATGATTTGAATTATAACTATTGATGGTTAGAATCCCATTGATGGTTACCCTCCGGTAAATTAACAGTTTGACCCTGGCAGTCATCGGGGTTGGAAGATTAGTGAAACCATTAAAAATTGGTGGTTCTCAGGGTCTATGTTGATATAACTATAGTATTCATGGGTTTTATAAACCAACTAACATCAACGTTCACATCACTGGGGGGCCTCACATGGTATCAACTCACGTTGACACCCCAAAAAAACACCACTGGACCTGTTGGTTTCAACCTGTTTCAACCCTCAAAAATAACCCATTGATGGTACATTTTTTTCCTGATGTGATTTTACCACAATGTCATGAACTATCCCGAAATTGGGTGGTTTTAAACCCATTGATGGTTAATCCCCCAAAAAAAAAATGGGACCCGAAACCGAAAGCCGAGTCACCGCAGCGGCCTGCAGCCGCGCCAGGCGGCTGACCGAGTGTGCGGACCGCGGCCGGCCGCTGCGGGAGGCCAGCACCAAACTGCGGCGCCGATTGGTGGTCAAAGTGTCCAAGGGGAGGATTGATACTTTAACTATTAGACATTGATATTAATACTATTAGTAGGATTATTGATCAAATATTAGACATAGATACTTATATTGGTGTTTAACCCTGGAGTAATAAACCCCTAGGCTGTTTAATTTGGGGTGATACCATTTATGTATCATAGTGTGACTATTTGGAGGGTACCACCACAATTAATAAACCATGGTTTATTAATCCGGAGTTGACATTACTATTAATACTGGGATATGGTTTAATGATGGAATTTTATGATGTTGGATGTGATGTTGGATGATGGTTAATAGTATCTGATGATGGTTAATAATGGATTGTAATGGATAATAATAATGGATTGTAATGGATAATAATGGATTATAATTGATAGTAAACAATTACCCTCTGGTTATGTCAAAATAGCTATTGAAAATGGCCATTTATAGTGGTTTTTTTCCATTAAACATGGTGATTTTCAATAGCTATGTAACAAATTACCAGAGGGTATACTATTAATACTGGGATATCAATACTTTGGATACTTTAATAAAAAAAGTTACCAATGTCTAATCATGATTAATATCAACAGTAAGCAATATTAGACATTGGTACTTTAATAATATCAACAGTAATATCAACAGTAATATCAACAGTAATATCAACAGTAACCAATAATTGATACTAAGTATTAACGATTGGAACATTTGATATTGGATACTTTAGTATTGTTGCATTAATAATCATTAGATCATTAGTAATCATTAACATAACCAATATTAGTCATGGTCACCATGATTATTATTGGTGACTGGTATAATAATGATTTTCACTAGTGATTATTTAGTGACTTATTGAACCGATTTGGTATATTAATTGTCCCAGGAGATATTGGTGTGTTGCAATTGTTGCATTGATAATCATCAGATCTTATATACTTTTATTTAGTGACCATGTAGTACATGATCTACATTGTACCATCTTATAATCTGTTCATACAATACATAGAGCTAACAGATCTTAGTCTATCAGTCTATCTTACATACCAAGGCGTTGGAAGGGCCCTCACCCAGCCTCGAAACACCCACCTGCACCAGTTCTTGTGCAGCAACCAGCCCGAGACCTCCGAAAAATTCTCAGCTGATTGTCGAAAAAACCTGTTGAGATGTTTAACCTCATCGAACTTCAGGATTTCAATGGATCCTCTCAAAAAAAAAACACAAACGACTCTGGGTTTTCCATGGGTTTTCCCATCTTTTCAGATGTTTTAGGCCAGGCCAACCCACCGAAATTCACATTCCCATGGTGCACCCATTGAACCCATTGAACCTCCCAGGCCGCCCGTCAGCAACGCCGAGCCCTCGAAGGGCACGCGCAGCACGTCGCGGTGCTGCAGGGATGTGGGGCACCGCTGTAGTCGTGGGGCCTGGAAACCGAAGTTAGACACTTTCACCAAATTTATATGTAAAATTATGTAAATATAAATCTTCACCCAAGTCGAACAGTAAATATCAAATAAAGTGTGATCCGTTGTTCTTTTCGGAATTGGTAGAAAAGTCACATGTGCCATATATATATATATTACATTATATTATGTGTAGATGGCTATATATATCCATGTAGTGTCACCCGAATGGGTATGCTTCAAACCGGTGGTAAAATGGTGAACATCAAAATAGCTCTTATTTCTGGATGTTTTTCCCAGATGATACCTGGTCCTCAGTGCTTTAGCCCATTCCCACCTGATTACCGGCTACCAGTTCAAGCTCTGGAGATGCTAGGATTGCTTTCAATCCACTGACCTCAGAAATCCAGTGAAATCCAGAAGCCTTGCGGAAAAAAATCAGGGAGAAAGCCACAAAACACAGAAAATCAGCTGGGGAATCATGGGCAAAGATGGGAATATGTAGAAAATCCATGAACTAAGAACAAACTTCAACTGGGAACCGCACCACCTGACTTTCCTCCACACATTCCAGGATTTTGATGCTGGTGCGAAGTTCCAAGCGAGCCTCAGTGATTCAGTGATGGTTTAAGTGGAGACTTTGGCAAGCCTCCGCTCAACGTGGGGGGAAATCCTCCACATTTCATCCATCAGTGGGACATTTTCCTCCAAGGTACTGATCTCGCGAAGCCCCAAAGTGCCGCATCACTTCTGAAGTTTGGCCCCTCGAAACAAGGCGAAACGCTGAAGTTAGTTTCGTTTCCACATGACTTTGCGAAAAGAGCTGCGAAAAGGTTTAGGTCTGACTTGTTTGGATTGAATTGCTACCTCCAAAGCGAGATCAAGAACTATAGTAACTATTTACTCTGAGTGCTGCAAACCCGTCCCGTTGCATGTTGAAACTATGAAAATGAATGAGAAATGAGGATGCCTTGACTCAAAGAGCGCAGTACATACAAGATATAAACATGTCATGCATATTGAAATCGATAAAGTCTCCAGCATGTTCCATGCAAACCTCTCAACATCTAGCCATCAATTCACCATCAATTCACCAGAAAAACAGGACAGGACAGGATGAGCACCTTGGGTTTGAAGATGAGCACCACGACAGTTTCAACACTTCCAGGCGCTGCCAAAGCTTGCAGGAACTTCATCAAATCTACCAGAGCCTTCCCAGGCACCTCGGTGAAAGCCCCAAGTTTCCAAAAAAAAGGCGTTTGATCCTTGGTTTTGATGATTTTTGATGATTTTTGATGATGCTTGATGATTTTTGATGATTGTTGATTATTTTTGATGATCACTCAGTCACCATAGGCACTAATAGCCAGTCTATAGTCACTGAGTCCATGGTTTCATATGTTTCATGGAAAAAACTCCTCACCGAAAATCCTCGATCTTCGAACAGAGCCTGAGTCGTGCACTTCTCCGCTGGGACCTGTGACAAAGACCGCGGTGTTGGGTTTCTTCTCCGCAACGACCTTGATGATCTCCTCTGAACCTGACATCAGCGCAGTGGAACTGGTGAAACTGGTGGAACTGGGCAGTTCCGGCTTCCAGTCATCCAACATCAGGATGTGAATGATAAATATGATAATTAATCCAACATCCTTAGTGAATGATAGTGAATGTGAGAAACCCAAGAATCCAGCCAGCATTTCAAGTGATGGTTTACCGAAATCGGTTGAATTCGAGGATCTATTGATCTTCTTTGGGTCCCAAATATGTGTTTTCTCAAGGAGATCCACCTGGGTAGCCCTCGAGTTCAGCCGTGGCCAAAGTGGAAGCGGCTTTGAAGCTATCGCCCTCACCGATGAGCAGCATTGACTCGCCTGGCGACATCATCTCACTATCTGCTAAGGGAAAAAAGAAGTTCCCCTGGTAGAAAGTTGATGTCTGCACCTGGTGGATTCTGAAAAAGAGTTTTAGGACACTTCGATTGTTCTGAAATTTTAACTCTGCGCAAAAAAAAAGTTTCGAAACCACTGAAATGTGAAGAAAACCTTTCGGAATCAAAGAAGGTTGAGGAAGCTCATCAACCATCTGGAACTTTGAATGGAATGTCATAAATATATCATTCAACTGCTTATTCTCATATCATATATATATATAATTATATATATATAAATGTTATAAATATTCCATTTATCATAGATACAGCATGTAAATGTTAATTATAAATATTCCATTTATCATAGATACAGCATATAAATGTTATAAATATTCCATTTATCATAGATACAGCATATAAATGTTATAAATATCCATATATTGCTTGCCTCCAGTTCGATCAATCTGCTCCACTGTAATGGGAATCAACACTTCGTTGAATGAAACATCCTGCGCTTTGCGCACGGGTGCGGAGATCTCTATGTTTTTTTTAGTGGATCCCCCCATAGATGTAGGATACAGCCTGCAGTAGGATTGGCTTGACAAATACTGGGGGATGGTGCAAGTCGTAGCTAATACTCCAAGAAGATCAGGTTAGAAGTAGTCATGAATATCATGAATATCATGAATATCATGAATATCATGAATATCATGAATATCATGTCATCTTCTTGCAGGAACTATCATGATATTATGATATGAATACTCACTACTACGTATTATGTTATGAATATCATGTCATATCACCAAATGTGGTTTGGCAATCAGAACTTGTAGGTCATTTGATTTGATTCTACTATACTCTTGGTAAAAAAAATAATCAACCACCCATATTTTGATAGTTTATACAACCCATTTATGGTAAATTTGGGTGTTTACTGTTGAAAACAACCAAGATTAGAATCATTAGATCAAATATGGATCGTACTTGAAGAGGAGTTGCACTTCAACTCACACCATGTCTCAACCCCTGGGGGAAACCCACCATTTCCCACCTGCATCCACTGTCGATATGGCTGCAACAAGCGTCGCGTGTAGTTGGCCCGAGGTCGTTCCACCAAAACTTCATCAACCAGTCCTTCCACCAGTGCCTTAACAGCTTCGGTTCTCCAAAAAAAGACACCCCAACAACAGGCAGAAACAATTTTTGATGGCTTCAAAACATATCTTCAAAATCATTCATTAATTAATGTATTCACCAATGTTATAATCACCAAAATCGATATCTTCAATATTCACCAATGCCCCCACAATAATTAGAGGCCAGAAATCTCATGATGCTCCGACCATGGGCACCGAGGCCGCGGCATGCCCGTTGGTTCCGCTGAACCCGAAGGACGACACCGCCGCTCTGCGGGCCGTCGCACTGCGCCAATCGAAGAGTTCCGTTGGGATCGCAGCAGCGAAGCCGGTCAGATCGATGTTGTGGTTCAGCCTGGGCGGATCATAGAAACTGGTGGTTCTGCCTCCCTATAAAATCATGGGAAAATGTTGATTTAACCAGGAAAATGGTGATTTTATGGTGGTTTAATAGTGATCTAATGGGATTTACCCTCTGGTAAACTTAGAAAAAGCTATTGAAAATGGCCATAGAAATAGTGAGTTTTCCCATTAATAGCATGGTGATTGTCCATAGTTTTTTCTATGTTTACCAGAGGGTACCACTGATGAGAAATATAGAAAGGTAGCTTGCTCCAAATGCTGTACTCTTCAACTATAGTCATCTCAGAAAAAAAAAACGTGACGTCCTTATCATTATCATTACAATTTTTGTTGTTGTTCCCATCTGGTTGTTTAACATAGCCATGAAAATCACCATGCTATTAATAGGTAAACCATCTATTTCTATGGGCCATCTATACCATAGCTATGTTACAAATTACCAGATGGTATCCCATTTTTGAGGTCATATTATTATTATGTTTATTATTTTTATTATATTTATTATTATTATTATTTATTATTATTATTACTAATCATAATTATATGTTATTATTGTTATTATTTGACGATTGATTACTCTGAAACAACCCCCCAACATCCTCCAACATCGCCTCTTTTGACCCAAGCCATCCCAAGCCCAAGCTCGCTGAGGACCTAACTGTCGCAGCCACAGCAGGGCTGGCACCTGTGCCCGCTGGCAGGACAGCACCGCCTTGCTGAGGCCTGCCACACCAGCAGCACCTGGCAGTTTTCGCAGCTTTCACCGCCCTCTGCTGATGCTGAAAACCTCCCAAATTTCACACGGCGATGACGGCTATGACCTGAAAAATGGTGATTTTCCACTGGTAATTTGTCAAGAGTTTGCGAACTTGAATAGCTGGCCCATAGATATAGTTGATTTACCCATGAATAGCATGGTGATTGTCCATTTAGTTGTTTGTATGTTTACCAGAGGGTACTTGAGATAAGTTATGAGCTTTGATCTCAAAAATGATAAAAATCAGGTGCCAATGCACAAAATAACGCACAAAATTGCTCATGTTCAGCACCAAACTTCCTAAACTTACTAGACCAGCCATGCTTGGCAGCTTCAAATCCTTTAAAAAAACGGCTTGAAGTATCGAAACACCAGGTCCCATCCACCATAAATCCCCTGCCTTCCAGGTGTCCCAGGTTGGTCTTCCCTGCAGCCAAGGAGAAAGACCCACCAGTCTTGCCGTAGACCGCCTTCTGTGCACCCACCTGGTGACTTCCGTAAGCATCAGTTCCAACGATATCCAACGATGGAGTATTCATCGTTCATACAATACGATGATTCAATAACCACCAATGACCAACATCAGATTATATAATATATACCCTCTGGGTTTTACGTTTACAGTTTTCGAACTGTAGTTTACATCAGCATTTTGTGGCTAGATCAACATATAAATCAATAAATGGCCACTATTTCGCCACAACTGGCCAGACATAACCATTTTGGGTAACCCCACAACTGGCCAGCCTCGATGGGATCTCCTAAAGCTGTTCCGGTACCATGGCATTCCAGGCACCCCACCGCCTGCGCTGAGTTGGTCATGTTGCTCATGGAGATGCCAGGGATTCGACGAAAAAAAACACTCAGAACATGAAAAGTGAAAATGAATAAGTGTCCAATGAATGTATAATGAATGTATAATGAATGTATAATTTGAATGTATAATGAATGTATAATGAATGTATAATGAATGTATAATGAATGTATAATGGATGTATAAGATGATTTGAACACTCATTTGACTCATACCATAACTGAATAAGTTCTGATTCTCTGCATTTGATAAAGGGAGAAAAGAAAAGGCCAGACCTCGGGTGTCATCGCTCGTTCTGCCAATGCCGCTCGAAGCACGCGCCTCAAATTGGGTATTGTCAACACATCTGACTAGACATACCATCTGGTGATTTAACAGTTCGCCATGGAAAATAACCATGCTATTAATAGGTAAACCATCTATTTCTATAGGCCATCTATACCATGGCTATGTTAGTCATAACCAGAGGGTAGATTTGAATATCGTATCACTGGATCACCTTTTTGGCGTGTTTGAAATGTAAATAATCCGAAATGGTTGATACCCTCTGGTTATGTCAACAGTTTGCGAACTTGAATAGCTGGCCCATAGAAAAAAGATGGTGATCTGGTCATATTTTTCGGATCAGTAGTTCCACATGTTTTTTCCTGTGATCTTTGCCAAAACGCTGCTGCGCCGTGCCATTTGGAGCGGTGATGGTTGCCGCACGGCCATCGTGATTTGTTGCCACACCACCCAGCAGAGCCACTGGGGCAATGCCCTGACCGAAAGTGGAAAGCAAAGATCGGTTAGATCCATCCTGCACCATCGGAATTCCGATGGGAATTCCGATGGGAATTCTAACCGATCAAGTCAAGAAGTCACAAGAAATTTCAAGGACTCATGGCATAATTGATGGTAATTTAACATAGCTATTGAAAATGGCCCTAGAAATAGTGAGTGTTCCCATTAATAGCATGGTGATTTTCCATAGTTTTTTCTATGTTTACCAGAGGGTAATTGATGGATATTTATGGCAACATGTCAGAAGAAACTCAGCAGCTACTCCTGGGACTTCGAAAAAAAACTTTTGGGCCACTCTGATTTCACAGCATAGACGGCACCTCGCCGGCTGCGGGTTTCACATAGACTGAGCCTGGCCATGAAGCCATAAAGCCCATGGGAAGTTGAGTTTCCTAAGCCATGGGGAATGCTGTTGACATCCAAAAAAAAAACATCTCCCTAAAATTGAACACCAGCATTCTGTCCCAAATATGTGATAAATCGCCCCCCTACATGTCACCATTGTTTCTGGTGTTTAAAATGTTGTTTCTGGGGAAGGGATTATCATATCACTTGTATTCCCTTGCTTAATATGACATGAAAATATCCCACTATAGTCATCCTCAAAAAGATTTTTTTTTTTAAAAAAAGAAGTAAAATCCCATTAAATATTGTCTATTTGGGGATGACTATAGTGGGATATTAATAGTTATATGAGTTATATGACTATAGTAATTGATTAAAGTAGTCATCAATCACTAGTGACTATCTGATTATCTCTTTTGAGGTTGCTGTAAATACTCACCCACCGATGGTTGTGGGTTTCAGAGATCCTCAGCATCTGAGCGGCCCACCCATCCCTTCTCCGCGTGCGAAGCCGTCTGCAGAGGTGTCGAAGGTTTTGCAGTTTCCGTCCATCGCAAGGCCACGCATTTTGGCAAAGCCCACCTGGAAGCATTTCGGAAACCATGATCGACTGCTGGGATTGATGCTGGAACAGCACACCCCAGTTCGACCCAGTTCAGCAAGTCGATGAAAAAGCACCAAGGATCTAAAGTTTCCATCATCCCAAGCGGGAAGAGGTGACTGATTAGACTGATTAGACATACCATCTGGTTATGACTAACAGTTCGCCATGGAACATCACCATGACTATTAATAGGTAAACCATCTATAAATCGATTAGGGCCATCGAAAAACCATGGCGAACTGTGAATGTCATAACCAGAGGGGATCTGAAACCAACTATATGGGTACCCTATGTCAGACCTTGCCCCATGTGACCCACTCCATTTGGGAGATCTCAAAGCGCGCACCCAAATTGCGGCGGACAGCTGCAGGTTCACACCGCTGGCAGCTGCAGACCTACCTGGGTCTGTCAAAAAGATGGATGGAAAGTTCAACTTACTGGTGCGTTTTACGCAGGGAATGGATGGGAATGGATGGGTTGCTGGGGGTTGCTGGGATGATTATTGATAGTAAGCCAGTGGATCATTCCCGAAAATTCCCTGCGTAAAACGCACCAGTAAGCAAAGGACTGAGACTTTGTTTCTCCAAGAACCTGAATTCTTCAAGTAAGTAAGGGCACCTAACAAGACCAACCCCAACCAGCTTTTGGGGAAACGAATCACACTGCTGGCTGAGCTTAGAGCAACGTCCCAAGCGAATGGCTTGGCTGGCACAGTCCAAAGCAACCACCTTCCAACATCGAAGGTGCAAATGTCTCACCTTTCATTTGCAACAACCGGGTCTATAAATTGTAGATCCGTTGGAACCACGCTTACCCTCTGGTAATTCTATGTTTAACTCTGAGTCTCTGTTTAGCAGGTACCCTCTGGTAAACTAACACAACTATGGAAAATCACCATGCTATTAATAGCAAAACTCACTATAAATGGCCATGTTCAAGTTCGCAAACTGTTAGTTTATACCAGAGGGTCAGAGGGTAAATGATCGAACAAAATAGGCAATTTTCCGCAAACTGTTGAGTTTTCCCAGAGGCTACAGGGTGACAGTGACTACCTCGGTCCCGCACTGTGGCAGAGCACGCCGTGTCCACTGTGAAGCAAGGCCCCCGCAAGGACAGGGTGTGGGATACCCGGCCGGACAGGCCAGAGTAAGCATAGCCTTAGCTTGGCTCAACAATCGGCAGTTTCATACACTGTCAACATCATTTGAGCCATGGTCAATACTCACTATATGGTTGATGGTCATCCCATCCATAATAAGGATCCTATTAATGGTTATTAACCATGAGTATTGACCATAGCTCATTTGAATCATCAAAATCGTGATACAACTAGGAAATCTCAGTCAGTCCCGTTTTTGAGTTCCGTTTTTGTTAGGTCGATTTTCAGTGGGAAGCTTGAGCAAGATTGGTGATGTCCAAAAAAATGTTGTTTCATAAAGTCAGGGCATTTATCATCGCAAAAATCTTTCAGTCATAAGATATACCATCTGGTTATTTAACAGTTCGCCATGGAAAATCACCATGCTATGAAAAGGTAAACCATCTATAAATCTATGGGCCATCTATACCATGGCGAACTGTTAGTCATAACCAGAGGGTAAATCCTCAAAACAACGGCCATGAGAACCTTCTGTTCGGGATGCACTTGGGTGATAACCTCCACAAGTTGGGATGGGACATGGGGCCCTTATAACTACCTATATGGTTAATACAAATACTTAGTGATTCACGTACAACTGGAAATAACTATGGTTATACTATATTGTACTACTGCTACTATAATTCATAAAATTCACTTACAATCGATTTTCATAATTTACTGCTATGAAAAAAAAACTATGGATTCACTTACCCTCTGGTAAATTAACATAGACCCTAGCAGTCATCGGTGTTGGAAGATTAGTGAAACCATTAAAACTAGGCTATTTTCAGGGTCAAACTGTTAATTTACCAGGGGGTACAATATATTCATGATATATTCATTCACCCCAACAGTTCCACTGTATCACAGCCCATCACCAAGGGTTCCCGGCCGATGTTGGTAAAAGGTCCGAAGGCCGGGATGTCTGGTTCAATCCCGCCAAGGGTGGCACAGCCCACATAGATGCCACACTCCAAGCCGTTCATCGTTTCTTTGGTTAGGCCTGCGGAGAAAAAAATGGCAGCAAACACAACAAACATATCATCTTCACATTAATATGAACCAAGAAAAATGTATAAATGCTGGTGAAAAATGGAGGTTTATTAAACCTGGGAAAATCATTTATAAATGGGAAAATCATCAAAAACTGGTTGGTGGTTTTTCGCCACCCCTCTGAAAAATGATGGAGTTCGTCAGTTGGGATGATGAAATTCCCAATGTATTATGGAAAAATAAAAAATGGTCCAAACCACCAATCAGAAAATGTATAAATAGTGGTTAAAAAAATATTTGAGCTTAAAATGGGGTCTGTAAAATATCACCAGATCAAGCAGCTTGGGAATTTCAGTGATGTCCAAATAAACCAAGTCAAATGAAAAAATGAAAAAGCATAAAGGCTGCAAAGCATCAACGTTCAAAACATGAAAAAAATATGTCTTCTAACTTATGGCCATAAAATAGTAGGGGAAATGATGATCGAAATCATCAAAGATGACCGTTTTCTCAACATGTTCAAGTACCAAACCCAACTTGGATTGTTATATATATTATATCCCATAAAATATCAAAAAAAACACCATATTCATCCATAGTCCATAAAATATCTCAATAAATAGTCCATGATATCAAAAAAATATCACCATGATATTTAGCCGTAGCCATCAACCTTAAAAAAAAAAACAGGCGGCCTGAAGCATACATGCAGTCGTAGGTAATCTCCAGGGTGAGCCACTGGTGTGGATCCTGATATGATCGATTTTTTCACCAAACTTTTTGGGGGATCCCAAACAATGGAATCGTGTGGAAAATAGGATGGAAAAATTTGTTGATGGGATTTTTGATGGGGATTTCTGACATTTCTGGAATGCTAATCCATTTATTTCATGTTTTTTCAAATAGTTTACCGTAAGATACCGTAAGAATAGTCAGGGGTTTTCTAATGTTTATGTCACCAACTCGACATGATATATCATGATATTTTGGATGTGTGTTGAACATCTTGGGAACAGCAGCAAACAAATATCATGGCTTTAGAAAAACATGTTCACTAGAAAAAAAAATGGCAATTCTATTTTGTGTACTTCATTTTGGGGCAAATCAATTCCTGTCATGATCCGGATCTGAATAAATTCCTTCCATCTTGTTCAATTTCGAGGATGATCACAAACGGAGCTGGAAGAGGATCTTGATCAGGTGGTTTCATGATTCTTTCCCTCCATCACTTGAGTGAAAATCCATGAATCATACCCGGGATGCTAATCCCCAATGGCTATCATAAAATGAAGTTCCATCCATGCTGAAAATCCATACCGGCGATGATAATCCACACTTGACAAATACCATCTGGTTATCTAACATAGCCATGGAAAATCACCATTTTTAATAGGTAAACCATCTATAGGCCATTTTCCATGGCTATGTTAAATAACCAGAGGGTAATATAAACCCTCTGGTTATTCAACATACAGCTATGAAAATTTGCCCGTTTTTCAAGACGATTTTTATGATGATGGACATATTAAAGATGGTGATTTACCAGAGCTACGTTAAATACCCAGAGGGAATGAATCATGGGTACCAATTGGATCTCACTTTTTCAATCAAGGAACCATGCCACGCTGTTCCATCTCGCTGAGACCAAAGAATTCTCCATCAAATTGTTCGATGCCGGGAATGAAATGGCCCAACCTGCATCTGCAAAACTCATCACCAAATCTGTCCATTTTTTCTCCAGTTGCTTAGTTTGATTCATTTTCTCAATTATCATCCAGATACCCTCTGGTAAACTAACGTAACTATGGGAAATCACCATTTTTTATGGGAAAACTCACTATAAATATCTATAAATGGTCATCTTCAGTAGCTATGTTAGTTTACCAGAGGGTATCATCCAGATACTTTCCATTTAGCATCTCATCATCCAAATGTATCCAAATGTCTCGTTTGCGTCATCTCATCATCAGATGTTTCGAAATATTTCCATAGCGAATCAGCATATGTCCATCCCCAAAATGCCTCACATAGGTTTTTCCTGGTGCATCGGGATCGGAGTCGTAGAAAGCATCCATGTCCCAGCCTGGCCAAAGTGGCTATGGAAGTGACTACCCTCTGGTAAACTAACATAGCTATGGAAAATCACCATTTTCAATGGGAAAATCCACTATAAATGGCCATTTTCAATAGCTATGTTAAATTACCAGAGGGTACTTCCTTTGTTTTTTCTAATGTTCAAATTTGAAAACTATCAGATTCATCAAACCCAAAGATGGATCCTTCCAACAATTGGGCACTAACTTCACCAAGTTCTCTATTGGATTTCACAAATGTTGACCAACTTTGAATTTTGAAAAGCTGGCGATTCAGAATCACCAAGCCACGCTCCGGAGGCAGTTCGGCCGTGGTGTCCAAACCGTAACTCAGGGTGCGCCAGAAGTCACCTGTCGGACCATCATGCTGAAGATGGCCGGTGCTCACCCGAAATCCATTACCCTTTGGAAATCAAACGTGGATGGATGAGATATCCTATGGATATGTACATGGGTTATTTTCCATTGCTAGGTTTGATTACCCGCGAGTATATTCCATTCAATTTCCCATTCAAACCTCCATTTATCCCAGCAAAATCCCGTGAAATCCTATCAATATCCCATTAAATCACTCTAAAATCATCTAAAATCCTATCAATGTCCCATTAAATCACTATAATCACTCTAAAATCATCTGAAATCCTACCAATATCCCACAATATCCCATTAAATCACCCTAAAATCATCTAAAATCCATGAAAATCCCATGAAAACCACCTGTTTCACGCCACGAGTCATGTCATCCCACGCCGTTGGCGCCATGGCAAGGCCTGGATGATTCCCCAAGCTGCCCGGAAAGCGTCCGCTATGACTGGCCAGTGCCAGTTGGTCTCCAATGTGTCCACCCTGGAGGAACAAGTCATCAATGGATGAAAATTGGGAGGCTATATAGCTGAGTTGTCATCAATAATGATGGTTATAGGCTATAGGAATTAATGATAGTTAATGATTAATGATAGTTAATGTCCCATTTAAGTATCAAATCATGACTATTGGTGGAATACCCCACGATCATCATTACTGGATTAATTGGGAGGGTATCTTGGTGAGTTGTTAAACCATGGGTTTAATGTTAATTAATCTGGGTTTACTAATCGTTAATCTAAAATAACTTTTAACAAAAATCACTGGTTGTAGGAATCCGAGTAATAGTTCAAATGATGATAGTTATAGTTCTCAATAGTGATAGTACAATGTTGATAATCATCACTACGGATAATAACGATCATTACTATCATCAGTACAATGATGTTATAGGACTTATTAAGAGTTATAATCCTGAATGCTTCATCAATCGTGGAGAATACTAGTAATAATTAATCACTGTTGAGTTTTAGTGATGGTGCTGGTGATGGTCATTGTGATGGTGGTAGTGATGGTGATGGTGATGATGATTATTGTTTGATACCAAACATCAAATATTATCCAATTTATAAGTCTCATCGCCATCATAGTATTTCATGAAACTCCATGGTTAAAAATACCCTCTGGTAAACAAACAGTTTGCTATTGAAAATGACCATAGAAATAGTGAGTTTTCCCATTAATAGCATGGTGATTTTCCATTGTTTTTTCTATGTTTACCAGAGGGTAATCCAACCAGAAAACCATGGAAGATCCATGATGAAAATTGCTGCTCCCACCCCTCACTCTTTCAGCAGGCCTGCAAACCTTGAAGGGCCGCTTCATCTTCAGAGGGCCCAACCTGTCTGGTTTTTTTTCGGATTTTTTTCGGTTTCAAAAGTGCCATGTGATGGATGATTTGGGTGATGAAAACAAGTTCTATGCTTCGAATTTTTCATTCGGATCGTGGAAAAACATCGAACTTCTGCCTATCAACAGAAGCCATCTCAACATCCAAGTTGTCTCCCTTTCATCATCTCAACATATCTCAACCATCCAACATTAAAAAACAGCCTGCGACCAGATGTACTCCACCAGGTCGGGAACCGTGGGGTAGTCAAACATCAAGGTGGGCGTTAGGTTGATGCCCTCCACTGCGCCCTGCAGCGGATGGAGACCGTAAGGATCCAACGAACCCAAAAAAAAATGGTGCCCAGAGGTCAAACATGGCTGGAAAAAGATGGAAAAATAGGAAAAAAAATGTTGAGCCATTTATCATAGATTGTCATAGATGATTCTCCTATCATAGATCTACATTTTGATAGGGGGAGTGTTCAAGATCTCCCAGCATCTCCCAAAAAAATGGAGCACCTGAAGTCGATTTCGGAACTCCACGCCCGCCAAGGAATCCAGTCCCAGCTCCATCAAGGGCGTGTTCACATCGAAGTCTTCCGAGCCCAAGGCATCTGCCAGGGCTGAAACCACCAAGGATTTCACATCCTCCAAGGTGTAGTTTCCCACTGGAGCTACTGATTTGCTCACACTGAACTTACTCAAAAATGGAGGAACGAAAGGCAATTGTCCCAGCAAAGCTGTCCACTTGATGCGAGCCACGGCAATGACACCGCTGCGCAAGGGTGAGGATAAAATGTTCTTCATCGCCTCCATTCCTTTGCTGGCAGAGATTCTGGCAATGCTCGTCTCCGCCGTGTTGGCTCTGGCAGCCATTCCCACTTCAGCCCAGGGCCCCCATTGGATACTAACAGCTGGCATCTTCTTCTCATCTCTCAGGTAAGATGCGTAGGAGTCCATGAAAGCATTGGCCGCACAGTAGTTTCCCTGTGCAGGTGTGCCTAACAAGGCTGCAACTGAGGAGAAGAGTGCGAAGAAATCCAACTTCTGTCCCGTCACTGCCTCGTCCAAATTCATGGTACCATCTGCTTTGGGTGCCAAGACTGTGGTCATATGAGACTCTGTGAGGTCTGCGATCATGTGATCATCCAACATCCCTGCAGCATGAATGATGCCTTTGATCGGAGCCAGCTTGCAAATCGCCTTTATCACCTCTGCCAAAGCTTTCTGGTCCGCAATATCTGCCTTGTGAACAGAGACCTTGGAAGCCAACCGCCGGTAGGTGATCTGACAATCTGCCGGTGGTTTGCCACTTCGAGAGATCAAGGCCACTTTCTGTGCTTTCTGTTCCAACAACCAGGAAGCAAACATCAATCCTAATGCTCCCAGGCCACCAGTAATCACATAACTTCCATCAGATAAGCCACTCAGACCTGTCTGAGGCTCTAAGTTGGCTTCCTCCAATCGCGGGATCCACATCTGGGTCTCCTCTTTCTGGTCTCGGAGTGCTATTTCCTGTTCATCTGTGGAGCTGTTGGGCAGTGGAAGGTTTCGAAGATCTGAAAGCCTTCCCCCTGGTGGAAGATCGACACAGAGGACCCTGGGTCCCATAGGATGTTCGTTCCGGAAGGCACGGGCCAAGCCCCAGAGGCCTGCATGGAGCGGGCAGTAAGCACCAGCCATGTCACCAGTGGCCACTGCTTGGGCATTGCGTGTGGCCAGGATCAGGCTTTGGAACTTGGGATGCCTGGACTTTGCAAGGGATTGCAGGAGTTTCAGGACAAAGAGCAGGTTTGGAGTTAAGGAACTCCGTTTGTGGCTAGTGCTGATACTCAGAATCCATTCAAAGCTGTCGAGCTCCAAAGTCGACAAAGCCTTCTGCTTTGCGAAGGTCTGGTCCTTTCCAATGGCTTTCAGGGCTCCTGCAGCCGCCTCTTGATCTGCAAAGATCAAACCATTTGATTTGAACAAATCTCTGCTTTCCAATTCACTTGGAGACCACTGAACTTCGTAGAGTTTTTGCTCATCATCTCGTGCACCCTGCGCCGCAATGGCCATCTGAATCTGCTCAGGTTTCACCGCTCGGAAGACCACATCCTCCATGATCATCAGCACCGCACCATCATCATCCGCCACGCGAATGTTGAAGGTTTGGGAAGCCTCCAGTGATTCAGTGATGCGCATGTGTACCCAATAGCGTTTCAACTTGGAAAAGTTCTCCCTCTTCACCACCAGAACTTTGCCGACTCCTCCAAAGATCTTCAAACCACTGACATTTTTTCCAATGGATGCAGTGGCCAGAATGTGGATGGTACCATCCAGCAGTGCTGGATGCATGATGTAGCCAGTATTCTTCACCCCAGGAAAATCCAGCTCCAATTGGCCCAAGACCTCCGAAGACGTCTCCGTCTCCTTCCTCCATAGCTTCTTGGCCACTTGGAACATGGGGCCCAAATAGAGACCCACCGAGTTGATCGCATCATAAACCACAGATGTCTCAATTGGTTCATTGATGCGACTTCGAAGTTCCTCCAGATCCAGAGTTGTCATCTCAGATTTCGAGGCCTTTTCCAAGGTGGCTTCCACATGCACAGTGCTTTTCCCATTGCTACTGCTCTGGATCTCAAATCGACTGTCGCCTTTCATCTGGAACCGCATGATGGGAGCTGGCCCACTATCTGCGAAGCGATCTGGCACCACGAAAGGGAAGACCATGGTGACATCCCTCAAAGCCACGTCATGCCCAAACAGCTTCCGGGTAGCTTCCATCGCCATCTCAACATAAACAACTCCTGGAGTTACAATGGATCCGAAGACCACATGGTGGGACACGATGTCATAGACATCTGACGACATGCTCACTTCAAAACTGTTCTCAGCTTGATGTCTCAGTAAGCGAAATCCAAATTCTCGCCATGGAAATGCTTTTTTGGCATACCTGAGATTTGGGATCCAACAGCTTCAAAACCTTCAAACAAAGATCTTCAAAAACAACAATAGATCTCCCCAGTCATTTTTTGGTGATAAATCCACTGAGAAAATCTCCAAAAACCATCAAACATCTCCAAAAAACAATCCCAAAAAACCTTTAAATCCGTCATAAATTGGATAAATCCACTGAGAAAATCTCCAAAAACCATCAAACATCTCCAAAAAACAATCCCAAAAAACCTTTAAATCCGTCATAAATTGGATAAATCCACTGAGAAAATCTCCAAAAACCATCAAACATCTCCAAAAAACAATCCCAAAAAACCTTTAAACTTTAAATCAGCCCTAAATTCAATAAATCCACTGAGAAAATCTCAAAAAAAACCCTTAAGTCCGTCATAAATTGGATTAAAACCACTGAGAAAATCGCCAAAAAACCATCAAACATCCCCAAAAAACTCCAAGAGACTGCGGTGGTCGTTGCAACGTGATGAAATCCACCGGGACCTCCGACTCACCCAGCACCGCATGCGCGTTGGTCCCACCGAAGCCGAAGGAGGACAGGGCTCCAGTGCGACGCCCGTTGAGCGGCACGTGCTCGCTCTGGAAGATCTGGGGACCAAAAGAAAAGGATGGGATTTTCATGGATTTTCATGGGATTTTCATGGGATTTTCATGGGGATTTTCATGGGGATTTTCATGGGATTTTCATGGGATTTTCATGGGATTTTCATGGGATTTTCATGGGATTTCAATGGGATTTTCATGGGGTTCTAATGAGATTTTCATGGGATTTTCATGAGATTTTCATGGGATTTTCAATGAAATTTTCATGGGATTTTCATGGGATTTTCATGGGATTCTCATGGGATTTTCATGGAATTTTCATGTGATTTTCATGGGATTTTCATAGGGGATTTTCATGGGATTTTCATGGGATTTTCATGGGGGTTCTCATGGAGATTTTCATGGGATTTTCATGGGGTTTTCATGGGGTTTTCATGGGATTTTCATGGGATTTTCATGGGATTTTCATGGGATTTTCCTGGGATTTTCCTGGGATTTTCATGGGATTTCATGGGATTTTCATGGGATTTTCATGGGATTTTCATGGGATTCCTGGGATTTTCCTGGGATTTTCATGGGATTTTCATGGGATTCTAATGAGATTTTCATGGGATTTTCATGGGATTTTCATGGGATTTTAATGGGATTTTCATGGGAATTTCATTGGATTCTAATGGGATTTTCATGGGATTTTCATGATTTTAATAGGATTTTCATGATTTTAATATGATTTTCATGGGATTTTCATGTGATTTTCATGGATTTTCATGGGATTTTCATGGGATTTTCATGGGGTTTTCATGGGATTTTCATGGGATTTTCATGGGATTTTCATGGGATTTTCATGGGATTTTCATGATATTTTCATGGGATTTTAATAGGATTTTCATGGGATTTTCATGGGATTTTCATGGGATTTTCATGGGATTTTCATGGGATTTTCATGGAATTTTCATGGGATTTTCATGGGATTTTCATGGGGATTTTCATGGGATTTTCATGGGATTTTCATGGTGGTTCTCATGGAGATTTCATGGGATTTTCATGGGATTTTCGTGGGATTTTCATGGATTTTCATGGGATTTTCATGGGATTTTCATGGGATTTCATGGGGTTTTCATGTGATTTTCATGTGATTTTCATGTGATTTTCATGGGATTTTCATGGGATTTTCATGGGATTTTCATGGGATTTCAATGGGATTTTAATTGAATTTCATGGGATTTCATGAGATTTTCATGGGATTTCATGGGATTTCATGGGATTTCATGGGATTTCATGGGATTTTCATGGGATTTTCATGGGATTTTCATGGAATTTTCATGGGATTTTCATAGGGGATTTTCATGGGGATTTTCATGGGATTTTCATGGGATTTTCATGGTGGTTCTCATGGAGATTTTCATGGGATTTTCATGGGGTTTTCATGGGATTTTCATGGGATTTTCATGAGATTTCAATGGGATTTTCATGGGATTTTCATGGGATTTCAATGGGATTTTTCATGGGATTTTCATGGGATTTTAATTGGATTTCATGGGATTTTCATGGGATTTCAATGGGATTTTCATGGGATTTTCATGGGATTTTCATGGGATTTTCATGGGATTTCAATGGGATTTTCATGGGATTTTCATGGGATTTTCATGTGATTTTCATGGGATTTTCCTGGGATTTCATGTGATTTTAATGGGATTTTCATGTGATTTTCATGTGATTTTCATGGGATTTTCATGTGATTTTCATGGGATTTTCATGGGATGAAATCATGGTATTTTCATGGGATGTCATGGGATTTTCATGGGATTTTCATGGGATTTTAATGGGATTTTAATGTGATTTTAATGGGATTTTAATGGGATTTTAATGTGATTTTCATGGGATTTCATGGGATTTTCATGTGATTTTAATGTGATTTCATGGGATTTTAATGTGATATTAATGTGATTTTCATGGGATTTTCATTGGATTCTAATGGGATTTTCATGGGATTTTCATGGGATTGTCATGGGATTCTAATGGGATTTTCATGCGATTTTCATGTGATTTTCATGTGATTTTCATGGGACTTCATGGGTTTTAATGGGATTTTCATTGGATTTTCATGTGATTTTCATGGGATTTTCATGAGATTTTCATGGGATTTCATGGGATTTTCATGGGATTCTAATGGGATTTTCATGGGATTTTCATGGGATTTCATGTGATTTTCATGTGATTTTCATGGGATTTCATGGGATTTTCATGGGATTTTCATGTGATTTTCATGGGATTTTAATGGGATTTTCATGGGATTTTAATGTGATTTTCATGGGTTTTCATGTGATTTTCATGGGATTTCATGGGATTTTCATGGAATTTTCATGTGATTTTAATGTGATTTTCATGGGGTTTTCATGGGATTCTAATGGGATTTTCATGGGATTTTCATGGGATTTTAATGGGATTTTCATGGGATTTTAATGGGATTTTAATGGGATTTTAATGGGATTTTCATGTGATTTTCATGGGATTTTCATGGGATTTTCATGGGATTTTCATGGGGATTTTCATGTGATTTTCATTGGATTTTCATTGGATTTTCATGGGATTTTCATGGGATTTCATGGGATTTTCATGGGATTTTCATGGGGTTTTCATGGGATTTTCATGGGATTTTCATGGGATTTCATGGGGTTTTCATGGGATTTTCATGGGATTTTCATGGGATTTTCATGGGATTTTCATGGGATTTTCATGGGGGTTTTCATGGTGATTTTCATGGGATTTTCATGGGGTTTTCATGGTGTTTTCATGGGATTTTCATGGGATTTTCATGTGATTTTCATGGGATTTTCATGGGATTTTCATGGGATTTTAATGGGATTTTCATGGGATTTTCATGGGATTTTCATGGGATTTTCATGGGATTTCATGGGATTTTCATGGGATTTTCATGGGATTTTCATGGGATTTTCATGGGATTTTCATGGGATTTCATGGGATTTTCATGTGATTTTCATGGGATTTTCATGGATTTTCATGGGATTTCAATGGGATTTTCATGGGATTTTCATGGGATTTCAATGGGATTTTCATGGGATTTCAATGGGATTTTCATGGGATTTTAATTGGATTTCATGGGATTTTCATGGGATTTCAATGGGATTTTCATGGGATTTTCATGGGATTTCAATGGGATTTTAATAGGTTTTTCTACTGAGCTGCTGGCAAGTAGCCATCTTTCTCAGTCAGACTTTAACATGTTGGGGACGACTCGATTTCAGGTTTTGAAGAAAGTTTGCAAAATTTGGACTTGCTTAAGGACTCCCCAGAAAAAGTACAGTATGGGTATCCCACTAAGAAAATCAGAAATCATCTTCGGCCAATCCAGGATTATGTAGGGGGGTTACCCTCTGGTAAACTAACATAGCTATAGAAAATTGCCCATTTATGGTTGAAATTTGACAATCTAATGAAAGTTTCCCACCTGCGGTGCATCTTCTGGAAGGTCCAGATGAGGATTCAATGAGTAGAGATGAACCACTGCGAATGCCTGCAGCCAGAAACAGACACCTGGAGAAAGATCATCCAAAAGCTATACCAGCACTAACTAATCTGGAACACGGAACAATCAGCAATTGCCAGAAAGAGAGGGGCAGAACTTCCCCCAGTTGCAAGAAATGTGTCGTCGTTCGGTATATCCAACCAATCCAATGTTCGTGCGGGAAGGTACCAGTTTATCCAACTGGCCCAACTATTAGGACTCGGGTTTTAAGTCTTTAACATAAATAAGAAATATAACATGTATAATATATAATCATGGATATATATATATATATGGCCATATATGCTATACTATATACATTTCTATATATTCTATATATATATATTCTCTATATGTGTATATATATATATATGGAGGTTTCCTGAAATGGGGGTACCCCCAAATCATCCAAAATTAGACCATTTGAGTATTGAAACCTATGGTTCTATTTGAGGAAACCTCCATTTTTTTCATCTCATATTAATATAGATATAGATATAGATATAGATATAGATATACTATACATCTGTACATCCCTCACATATATATATATGTATATATATATATATATGGGTAAATTATACTATTTCATTAACCTGATATTTCAGGCCTTTTTAACCTGAATAAGGCCATAATATAATATAACAATCCATATAATCAGAGTATCATACCCTCCGGTAATTTAACATAGCTATTGAACATGGTCATTTATAGTGGATTTTCCCATGAAAAGTTGTGATTTTCAATAGCTATGTTAGTTTACCAGAGGGTAATATTTGTTGAATTTCCCCATCCCCCATCCAAAATCACCAAGGTGCCGATCGTCGGCTCAGCAAGGTCACCGTTTTCAAAAGCCCCGGCGAAGCGGCAGCGCCCTGGTGCTCCAAAGAAGTTGCTTTTTCTACTGTCTGTTGATGAGATATACTGTTTATATGTTGTTTTTCAATGGTTGTGCCTTTTTTTGAGTAAATGGGAAGTATCTTTTCTTGAAACTAGAGGTTATGGTCCATATTCTGTTCTTTACAATCCTGTTTTGGAGCAGGAACATGACGCTCGCCTCCAAATGCCCAACACTGGTCTTCACAGCTGCTGTGGCCATGGGTTGCTGGCGACTGCCCTCTTGTAGACTTCCAGCTTGCAGGGCCCCCACTTCAATGGGATCACCCAATGGGGTGCCGGTACCGTGGCATTCCATGTGCAAAACCTGCGTGGCGAAGATGCCATGGGTGAAATAAATATGTATATACTGTATGTATATCTGGTGGGTGGTTTTTCGCCACCCCTCTGAAAAATGATGGAGTGAAAGTCAGTTGGGATGATGAAATTCCCAATGTAAGGAAAAATAAAAAATGTTCCAAACCACCAACCAGATATTTAGGGAGAGGGAGAGAGAGAGAGAGAGAGAGAAGTCAACTGGAAGGGTGTTCTAAGTATTTTCATGGAAAATAATTGCCGATAGAATCATGGGCCGCAGATTGGGTCAAAAACTGGACTCTTCAAAACACTTGCTGTGGCATTCTGTGACTCCAACTTGCTGGTAATCCAGGCACAGGCCCTTTATTTTCATGGGAAATGCATGGTTTCCCATGTCAAAACTCTCAAATCCATGTAAAAAAGTTTGCCTCAACATAGACTATACCCAAAATCACAATTCTAATGTCAACATGGGATAAAGAAACGTCATCATCATCATCGTCGTCGTCGTCGTCGTCATCATCATCGTCATCATCATCATCATCATCACCAGCATCAGCATCAGCATCAGCATCATCATCACCATCATCAACAACAGCATCATCATCATCATCATCATCATCATCATCACCATCACCATCACCAGGTGAATTTGGGGCTCCCATCATAGTAAACAAACATATTAAGATATCATAATCATCATAATCAACAGATTAATATATCCCATCATTTTCAAACATAATCATCATCATCATCATCATCAACAACAGGTTTTTTTGGTGAAATTTGGGGCTCCCATCATAATAAACAAACAACCATCATCAGCATTGTTTTTCCAACATCATAATAATTTCACAAACATCAAAGTCATCATAATCATCAAACATCAAAGTCATCATAACCATCATAATAAACAGACAGGTGACAGGTTGTGATACCTCAAGCTGTAAACGTGGTACACTGCAATACCACATCCTGCACGGTGTATTGTAACAGTTTCCTTAATCACCATAATCATCAAAGTCATCAACATCATCAAAGTCACCATTCTCATAATCATTATAATCATCATAATCACATCATCATAAAAATTCATAAACATCAAAGTCATCATAATCATCAAACATCAAAGCCATCATAACCATCATAATAAACAGACAGGTTGTGATACCTCAAGCTGTAAACATAATCATCATCATAGCCATCATTTCACATCATCATCTTTCAAAGCGCACCTCATGGTGTGTCATCTTCGCTTCCATCAGCGCCGTTTGCACCACCAAGGTCTGCGATGGCCCATTGGGCGCCGTCATGGTGGAACTCATGCCGTCCTGGTTCACCGCGAGGCCACGCAGCGCCGCCTGGGATATATCAATGGGATATATCTATGGTAAACTATGGAAAACTATGGAAAACTATGGAAAATCACAATTTTGAATGGGAAAATATGGAAAACTATGGAAAAACACCATTTTGAATGGAAAACTATGGAAAACTATGGAAAGATCCACCATTTTCTAGCTGGGAAAATCAACTATTTCGACTGGGCCATGTTCAATAGCTATGTTAGTTTACCAGAGGGTATTGGGCCCAAGAATGGATGGCGATAGAAAACTGATTACAGTAATTAAAAAAACATGTCAATGGTGTGGTTTAGCTATAGGTCTTCAATTTTGACGCCGCACATGTGCCGCACATGTGTCGTTTTAAACGCTTTGACCTGATGATTCCAATGGCACTTCGCAAGATTCGGAGAACCAAACCTGTAGAGAAAAGGTTTGGTTCAGTTCTCTGGTGATGATTCCGGAGTTGCCATCACCCGAATATATCAAGTTGGTTACCCTCTGGTAATTTAACATAGCTATTGAAAATCACCATTTTTAATGGGAAAATCCACTATTAATGGTCAATAGCTATGTTAGTTTACCAGAGGGTATACATCCCATGAAAAATCACTTTTTTGTTGATGCTTAATTAACTCACCTAACTCACCAGTATTGATGGTTAAAACCCCATTTTTGATGCTGAAATCACCAAGTTTGATGGCTAAATCACCCTCAACTCACCATGTTATCCCATTCTTTCTGCCTTGATTCCCTTAACAGCTGCCCGATTCTGGATGCCGCACCCGAGCCATGCCATGCGCATCCAGTAGGCGAGAGAGCATCACGGCGCCTGGATTCCGTTTGGAATGGAAAATCCATGAAAATCCACCTATAAAATAGATTATTTAATCCCATCTGGAATCTATATGATTAATCCATCCATAAAATGGATGATTTAGAGGTATCCTGGCTCAGATTTTCTTAGAAAACCAACCAGTTTTTTTAATCTGATCATGAAATCATGGCCTTGAAGCATCCATTCATCATGAAATTCGCTTCCAGAAATCAAATCATGCATCAGATTATCCATTCATCATGCAATAAATTGCCTCATGATGTCCATTGAATTCATTCAATCCTCATCAAGCATCCCGATGGATTCTAGTCTCCAGCTTATATCCCATCAGGGTCTATGAAATCCTCATTTGGGGACGGTTAAATGGCCTAAGTCACCAGGAGTTTCTTGGAGCCACAAAAATGGATGAGTCATGTGACTCATCATCATCCCAAATGTGGATGGTTGGGTATAAACCATTTGAAAAGAAAAAAACAACCATTGGTTGGTGGTGCAATTTCACCATCTTGAAAAATGATGGAGTTCGAAACCACCAACCAGATATCATGATCATTTGTGTCTTATGATATGATATATATATATATACGTATAGCATCTTATAGCTATATCTATTTATCATATTATACTGAATTATACTGATACATATAGATACATATATCAACCAGTTCATTTTCTCAGCTTCCCCAAGCAGCTCCCAGCCCTGCCTGCCCCTTCTCCTCGGCCGTAGCCATCCGCTGAGGCGTCAAAGGTAAAGGATCGGCCGCGGGGAGAAAGCCTTGGGCGCTTTCTAAGAGAGAACCAACCAACAAAACAAGTGACGTCAGGGAATTGTCAGGAATTTTCATAGGGATATCATAGACCAACAGTTGGATGTGTCTCAAAAATCGGCGAACCAATAACTGGTGGATTTAACCATGAAAGAATGGGTCTAATTAATGGGGATACAATGAATATTTAATGGCGGAATATTCATGGAAGACGCTCATGGAACCTAAGCATGAAAACTGCAATTTATCCATTAAAAGTTGGGACTTGCTGGAATGTTGATGGTCATATTCTGTTGGAAATATAACCAACTGTGTCCAATTTGAATGCGGATGTGTTTGTAAACAACTATCAAAGTTGCTGACAAATGCTTCCCAAATGTTCGTGAAAGCTTGATGCCAGAAAAAAATGCTGATATCAGCAACAATACAATTTTGTTTGGATATGTTGAAGTTGCAACATCAAAGGGGGTTCAACATCTTTCAACAGAAAACAATGGTTGAACAAGTTGAACAAGTTAAGACATCTTCGAGACCATGCCCAAAACAACCTGGTCCGTGGCCTGAAAAACAATCATGGAATGAGTGCTCCAATGAATACGTCAAAAACCGTCCCACGATCCAAATGATCCAAAACGACAGTTCCGAACAGTTCAGCAAAATCCAGCATCCGATCCGAAATCTGATCAGATTTCTGATGATTTCCTTCATAAATCTTGGACAAATCTGGGAAAAACATGGGAAAATCCTTGGGAAAAGCCTCAGATCCCATGGAAAAATGCGGCCGAGATGACATCCGCGGCTTGCTGAAGCTCACGAAGGTGGCCGGACTGGCCATGACCTCGGTGAAGCTGGGAAATTCATGAAATGATATGAATTCATATAGAAAATTGATATTAAAATTCATATTAATGATATATTTTAATGAATTATGACATAGATGATATAGAAAATTGATATGAAATGTTATTAATGATATGAATTCATTGGGGTTTATAGCTGGGAAATCCCTAATCAATGGAGGTTTATAGCTGGGAAATCATCTATAAATGGGATTGTGTTCTTCTATTTTTCTAGGATCTATATTTTTATTAATAGTTTTATTAATAGGATTTTGATTTTCTTGAAATTTCATTAACTGGTTGGTGGTTTTTCGCCACCCCTCTGAAAAATGATGGAGTTCGTCAGTTGGGATGATGAAATTCCCAATAGATGGAAAAATAAAAAAATGTTCCAAACCACCAACCAGATTAATGATATGAATTAATTGATTTTTAGTTCAATTACTTTCCCACCAGCTTTATATGATACAATTAACATTAATTCAATTAGTTTCTATGATAGAAAAATGAATTTCAATTCATGAAACTATGATAGAATAATTTCCCACCAGCTTTAGATGAATAGAATTCTACCATAGTTTCAATTCTATAATCATTCAATTCTAAGAACTACTAGTATATTGGTAGTTCTCTAATTATATTAGATGAAACTATGAAAGCAGATGTTTTTAGATCAATTGGATAATTAGAGAACTACCATATATGTGTTTCTCTAATTTCAGATGTTTTTAGATTAATCATTAGAGAATGAAATATATTCTGGATATTCCTATGTAGATGAAAATATAGCATTTAGCTGAATATGTGTATACCATTTGGTTATTTAACATAGCCATGGAAAATCCCCATTTTTCATAGGTAACCCATCTATAAATGGGCCATCTATACCATGGCTATGTTAAATAACCAGAGGGTATGTATATCAGCATGTACTCATGTACTCTCAAATGCAATCATTGATGAAATACACATGATTGAGGCACTGACATTTGCCGCCGCACTCACTGCGGCGGTACACCTTCCGCGACGAAGGTTCATTGCAGCATTGTCCACGGCTACCTTGATACGAAGGCAAAAGCACTGGACATGTTTGGGGGAGGAAATATTATATATATATGTGTGTATTGCCTTGCTTGACAAGTTTAAACATCATTTTCAAAGTATGTCAAATATCATAAGTTGTGTTTTAATGTTTATCATCACAAATGAATATCTCCTGTGTGTAGGTCCGGCCTTTCCAGTCAAACCTTGGGATAAGCGTATAACCAGCGAATAGCCGAGCGGCGAGAGCGGAGGAACAGGCAGTGTCAACCACGTAAGCAGGGCCCTTTAGCCCCAGGCAATAAGCCACACCTGTCGAACTCTCTCACTTGCTGAGATCTGAGCAGTTGAAAAAAATAGAGTGGATCTAAACTTCCTGGATGCTGAAAATGCTGAAATTGTTAATAGCCAACATCACCAGTCACTAGTGTGCCACTGATTTTTGCCCCACGTCTGTGCCATGGCTGCCATGGCCAGCATCTCATATCAAACTGGGAGGACCAACGTGCAGCTGCCACCGATGCAGATGTCCCAGTCGCCGTGTATGGATTGATCTTACCTCAAAAATGCACAGAAGCTGAGACCCTCTGCTACCGCCATGTCATGCCATGTCCAGATCCTCTCAGACTACCAAAACCTCCAAGGAAGAAAAAATCCCTATCTGGGGGTTTCCATAAATGGGGGTGCCCCAATAGCTGGATAATTTATTTTTCATGGAAAAACAAAAATCTATATGATAATTGGGGGTACCCCCATGACTTTGGAAACACCCATGACTTTGCTCATCTGTCTCCGGAGGTGTGAAGGTGTGAGAACTGAGTTTCAGGCGGATGTCACCACTTTGAACTTGGATCCAATCATTGTTGGAAACGCCGATAATCGCAGCAACGCTGCTGCCAATCAGCGACTGCCGGACCAGGAAAAGAAGATGTCAGAAGTGCCACCAAAGATCACCAAAGCATAGACCCCAAAAAATGCCGAAATACCAGCAAACTGAAATGTCAACTTGAAAAACTTGGAACGATTTGTCCAAAATGATCTATAGATATCGATCATTCATGATCATTTCCCGTGACTGGGGGAATTGTGGGAGGCATAAAACATCATAAAAACATCATAAAATGACAGGATCAGCCAGGCCTCTTGTTTCGTGTTGCTGTCCAAAATCGAATCGTAGCAGGTCTCAAGCACCTGCCACAGTGATTTCTCACTCAAGCACCACACACCGGCACCCTGCTTCATACCAAATCACCATCAGTAAATATCAATGGTAATTCGCTGAAAATTAGGCCTGAAAAATAGGCCTTATATATGGAATCGGTACCTCCAATCAATTGGTTCCTGAAATGGCCATTGAAATCCATTGAAAATAGGAAATAGATGAATAATGATGAATAATGATGAATACTGATGAATAATGATTTCATATAGTACCTTTGAACCATTCTTCCAAAACAGATAAGAATCCACGTTGATTTCCTGGTTCCGGTGCTATTTCTGTTCTCAACTCCAACTCCAGCGGCAGCGGCATCGCATCAAGGCACCAGTCGTTGCTGCGGGTCCATGGCCCGTGCCTGGAATCCGCAGATTGGAGGCGGAGGTCACGAAAAAACATCATATCCGTCATGGGATAATCCATGGTGCTGCTATATATTGACATATTATATGGATCCTATATTATTCAGTATTAGGATCCTATATATTATCAATATCCATGTAGATATGGATCAATATGGATCAATAATATATGCTAACATAGATCCCATCAACAAAAACCCCAGTCATGTTAGCAATTGTTAGCATTAATCTACCAGCACCATGGATCCGTCATGGGTATGATTCACTGATGCTATCCCCATCTCATTCATTCACATTAGTGCATTAGTGTTAACATGTTTGAAATGGATGAGTTTATACTGGTTGGTGGTTTTTCGCCACCCCTCTGAAAAATATGAAAGTCGGTTGGGATGATGACATTCCCAATATTAATATGGAAAGTCATAAAACATTAAGTGTTCCAAAGCATCAACACCAACCAGTTATATATATCTCAACAGCATCAACCAGTTATATATATATATATATCAACACCATCAACCAGTTATATATATATATCTGTTAATGGATTCTTCACCAAACCATTTGCGAATAATGTGGACATCCACAGAGCGCCCAACCGGGCCAAGAAATGGCCCAACCCATCGCCTCTGGTGCCGAGATGTTGAAAAAAGCTGCCGCGAAGTCCTCCGCGCCCTCAATGAAGGCTGCGTGACGCGGATACATCTTCCCAGGCCTCAGAAAAAAGGACCAAAAAATAGGGAAATCCATGGAAATTCCCATGGAAATTCCCATGTGTTTTCCCTGTTGTTCCAGTGGTTGTCTCTGTTTTTTGCTGGGAAATCGATGGAATTCACCTGTTTTTAAACGCTTGGAGAAAATTAAAGCTGTGGTATTTCGAGGCTCCGACGTATCTGGATTTGGATCATAGTACTCATCCAGTTCCCAACGTGTGAAGGGAACCTCATCAGATCCCATCTGACTTTGGCAGTTTGGCTTCGAAAAAAATCCAACAGCGCCGCACCTCAACGATGCCATCAGTGCCCATCGCCAGCAATGCCCCGAACTTTGCAGGAGCATCTGATTCGCCTACAAAAAGTGGTGCAGCCATGTCCTCCAACCACACAATTTTAGTCTGCCCAAAATCAATTCCAACAATCATCCAACAAATCCAAGAAATATGGTGATGGGGATCTTATCTTCCAAGAAATAAGTGATCAAACATCGAAAAATCTGGTTGACTATGACTATGGTTGACTCCCCATCAAAATCATGAAATCAACACCCGGTTCCTACCTGGGAAGGCACAAGCCGTGCCGATCACGGCCAACGGCTCATCTGCGGACACCGAGCGCGTCTTGCCCGCGGAAAGCTCCGCGGAAACCGGGCGCTTTCCGCGGGGCTGGTTGGTCTCAGCTGCGTAGCTGGCCACAGCCTAGGAACACAGGGGTGGTCTCCCGGGGGTCACCATTTTTAGCAAAATGGCTGCAACTTGGGAGTATTTTGCCCATTTTGAGGCACAGCCAGATACGCTTTTTTGTCTCCATTTTGCGGGGAAGATCATGATTCACCATGGAGGTTGGGGGGCTTACCCAAGTCCGAGACACATCATGACATCTCCATATATTGGAATAAAAAGGTTCTGGTGATTCGTGCAGGGTGCAAACACTTTGCAGGTCACATCCACATCAAAGCTCGATTTTCCATTGCCATCTTTGATTCCCCCCGGTTTACGAAAAAAATGGTAGGAAAACCGTTAAAACCCCATCCATTTGGTCAAAAACATGTAAAAAACCCATGGGGGTTCTGCAGATTTTCCCAACCAAACCCATCCAGACCCAAGGTGCTGAAAGTGTTGGGTAATCGAAGACCAAAGTCCTGGGGAGTCGCAGCCCAGGAAGCTCAGTAGCCAACCTGTCAAATGCCAGAAGTTGCAGCACGGTCTTCAGAACTTCATAGGGATTTGTCTATCAAAAAGAGCTAATTTTTTCGGCAATTCAACATCATCTAACCATGGTGGTTTCATTCAACCCCTCTGAAAAATATGAAAGTCAGTTGGGATTATTGTTCCCAAGATATGGAAAAATAATCCAAATGTTCCAAACCAGTCATTTAACCATGTGTATATAATTGACCCCAATTTTATGGTCATTTTCGACAAAATCATGCGAAACCATGAGAAATCATTGAGTCATTGAGTTTGGGTAGGCTCAACCACCAACAAAGTCACGACATATGTGGCTTGGTCAAGGTGTCTCTCAGGGCTGCACCGGGCACTAAATTGAACTGCCGCTTTGGAATCCATGCCGGAATCCAACAGTGGTCGATCTGCCTCGCATGTCGCAGTTTTTTCAGAAACGACTGGATTCCCATGGTTTTTCTTCAGTTGTCATAAGATCATAACCTCGGATGGATCAATGATGATCAATGTAACAACATGTTTTACAACCAGATGTTGATGACCACCTGACAGGACCTGATGTTTTTTCCTGTGTGGCGCAGCCTCTACGGCAAAGCCAGCACATTCTGCTGCGATCTTCGTCATCAACGCCAGCAATTTCTCTTTCTGCATCTCGTTCTGTGGCGAAATCTCTTGCTCGGAAGCCGTTGTACCTGATGGTGCAAACACGAAGGCTGTCAGGCTGTCGAAGTGGATAGGACAAGCACAACAGCACCTGAAATGCCAATTCCCTTCAGATTGGCACTTCAACGCCGATGGAAACACCTCTATATATGGGGTGTGTCTGAAAAGGAGGGATTGGCCTCCAACATGTGGCCATGTGCGGAAACTGACGATCAAGCGATGAAATGAGGAATTTTAAGAGGTGTTCAACCAAAATTTGCAGGTTTCAAAGCCAAATCTTGGAAACAATAGTTGATTTTTTAATCTATCTCCACAAAAATATCCCCATGAATATTCCATTCCCAATTCTTTCAATGCTTAACACACCAAGATGGTCATTTTCCCCAAGGCCCCATTTTTTTCTTCCGCCTGGCGATGGAGCGGCCTGGCAGAAATTGTCGAAAACTCCACAGGAACCCAACGGAAAACTCCAGATGTTCGTCCAGAAAAAATGTTGGAAAACTTCCACTGAAAGCAATGACGTTGGCATACCCTCTGGTAATTTAACATAGCTATGGAAAATGGCTCATTTATAGTTGATTTACCTATTAAAGATAATGATTTTCCATAGCTATGTTAGTTTACCAGAGGGTATTTTGACTGTGGACTTAAGGCAAAGCTTAGTCAACTTGGATCGCTGGTAGATTCAAGGTGGCGATCCCATGGAAAATCCATCGAAAATCCCATGAAATCACCATTCAACCCTCCATGTTTTTCGGTGAGTTCCTCATATTTGTCCCAACAAATCCCATCACCAAATCCTGAAATTGAACTTGTCACTGGCCATTTCAGGAACCAATTGATTGGAGGTACCGATTCCATATATAAGGCCTATATTCTATATAATTGTTCAGGCCTTAATTTCAGAGAATATCCCCAGAATTCATATGGCCAGAAATATGGTACGTTTATGTACCTCCATCAATTGGATCCTTTTTAAATCTCCCATTGAAGTGATATGGAAAATCACCATCTTTAACTAATCTTTGGTATATCCCCATTACCCCAAGTATCTTGGAAAAATGATCAGTCATCATTTACCATCAAAAAAGATGATATATATCCCCAGCAAAAATGACTGAATTATGTACACTCTGGTTATGACTAACATTGACTAACAGTTTGCGAACTTGAAAATGGCCATTTAATGATAGTGGATTTACCCATGAATAGCATGGTGATTTTCCATCGTTTTTTCTATGTTTACCAACCATCAAAGAACTTGGGCCTCTGCTTCAGGCTCATCCAGGTACGGTTGGGATCTAAAGAAGCGCCGAGAACTTCCAGAACT